TCACCTTAAACGTCCGTGTCAATCATTTAATCACAGTTAAAATCCTCCATTCAATGAAATATAATTTCTTACCATTTCGGAGAGAAATGTAGCGTCGTTCATTTGCCAACCGTGGGTCTTTCATGCGGACGTAACACTCTCGAGTCATTTGCAATCTGAATGTAAGTAAATTATGTAATTAAAAGTTAATGTATCTTTACAAAAGTTCACAATGCTGCTGCAGATGCAATAAAATCTACCCAAAATTGAATAAATACATTTTCGTCAGGTTAGACACTGATTAATCACTCAAACCCCTTTATCTAATCCTCTCTACACAACCGCCGGTGTTCTGGTGACGATTCATGTGATTTGCTACTTAGGCCTATGCGCATGTGCAAACTCAAAAAAGTTTTTTTTTTTTTTTTTTTTTTGTTAACAAAAGGTTGGACTACAGTTTTGGTCTACAGTCAGAATTATTACTTTGGTCTACAGTCAGAAAAAAAATACACTTTTTAAGCAGTATTTTTTTTTTTTTTTTTGATTCACTCCAAAAACTTGGTTCATAAGAGTCATTCTTTTGGTTTGACTACTTTGGTAGTCTGTTTGGTTAGCTGTGCCGTTTTGATTGACTAAAAAAAGATGATTAAAAAGTGTTATTCTTCTAGGAATTGGTTGGACTACACTGGTTACGCAGCAAGTTTTTGATTCACTCATTAAAGTAATTTGCATTGTTGCTTGCATTGTTGGTTTCTTGTTGAAGCGGTGTATGCATGGCTCACACTGAAGGGGCAAAAGGTGGTAATGATACAAGGGTCCTTAGAGGGGCCCCCTGATTTCAACAATTTCATAGGGGCCCACAGAAACAATTTGCAGGTACGGCCCTGTTTTAGTATGATATTCTGTCAGTCTCGGCAAATGCAAGTGTGAGTACCGAATGTACCTAGAGTACATACCCACTCTCATTCTCTCTTTTTTTAAATTAATGCATGAGACTGGAAGTAAAACTGGATTTTATTTCTCATCCCTATAGGCCGATTGTTAGATAAAGATAGCGCATCATGCATCATGTTAATGCCTATGCTATTGAGAAGGTGTGCTGGGATGAAAAGAAGGAGAGCGATAGATAGAGAGACAAAGAAAGAGAAAGTTGAGAGAGAGAATCAGCATGCCAAGTCTGCCCAAGTGCAGATCTTATAATTAAAGAGCACCGTGGGGAGTGGGCACAAGGAGCTCTGTGGAGATGACAAGAGTAAAATGCATACAAAGCAGAGTCTTGTAAAAGCACAGAACTCATCTAGAGATCAAAGGTTTATATTTTATTTTAGTATATTAAAAAAAACAAACAGTAGAAATGCATTTTTGCATGTTTCACCATACATGCATTCTGGGTTTGTTGCAATGCTTCCCTGCCCCTCGCAACCCCCACCCTCTCATTGCAGGCAGATGGATAATGACATGAGTGAAATTGCCCAGGGAAATAGATATGACAAGCCAAATCACAGAACATACAATTCTGCTTCAAATGTTAAATGCACCATTTCACACTATTACAAAACAACAAGAAAATCTTATTGGTCAAATTGTTTGATTAATAATTTCATTATTTGAAGCAAGGATTGTAGATATTAATAAGCAAATACATTTATATTTAAAATATTTATTTATTCATATTTTTAATAGCCTGATTTGAAAAGCAGACTATTCATGCAATGCTGCAATATAAATCTCAGAATATCAGCTCATCCAAAAGGAAAATATCAGCTATATACATATGTGATCATTATCCATACACGTGTTATTCAGACAAACAACCACACAGTTTGTGCTCTCAATCCTAACAGAATATAGGGATAGAAGGAGGAGAGAATAGAGAGAGAAAGGCAAAGACAAAGAGCTCTTCTGGCAATTTTTGTCTAGAGGAAAGCCTAGCTGGGCCAGATGGGCCGGGCCGTGAGATGGGGGAGCAGCAGATGTCCAGAAAAGCTTGGGCAGATTCTCATATGGTCCAGCCTGGACATGGTCATCACACACCTGAGCCACTCCAGCCATTCAGCTCTCACTGAGGACTAGCATAAATGGGAATGAAAAGCTCCTTTTGGTTTAAGTATTACTGTATGGCTTATGTCAAGATTATTAAAGGTTCAGACAAGCTACACCATTTCTTTTAAAGTCCTTCCTGTTCCTGACATTACAACAAGAGCAACTTGTAACACTATAGAATTCCATAGAACTAAAAGACTTCCATCCATGTGTCACATCTGGAAAATAATTAAATAAAAAATGAGCCATTCTCTCTCGACCAGACAAATTCATCTTTTTATTGTTGTCCTGTCATTTAATGTTAGTTAATAAATTAAATAGAATTAACTGACATTATAAAACGGTTAGATCCAATCCTTGATTCTGACTGGTCAACAGCTGTGCTTTATTCATGATAAAACGATAAAACATGGCTATGATCGCTTCACCCAACGGTTCTATTTATCACTGCGCAATATTATGCTAACATTTTGACTCTTTATCTTTAAAAAATAAATAAATTGGAGATCCCCTCCCTTCGGAGACACAAGAGTGCTCGGTTAACCTTGCCATGATCCAGGTGACATTAACACACTCTTCTTTAACACAGAGAGACAGAGAGGGGTCATGGTACTACAGTAGACCTTTTAAAGCAGATGGGGATCTAGTGCATTGCTCAAAGGCTCACTGGCATAATCGGAGGAAATGCCCTGAGACACATTTCAACACGGGTTTTCCAAGTACAGTGCTGTGCTCTTCTCATTTCACCACCCGTCACTACATTTCTGCCAAAAAACCTCCAAGAATGAAAAATATCGCCTGCAAGAAGATAATGGAATGTTATGGAATGGAAAATATTTTTTACCGTAGCTGTTGTTGTCTTTTGACGTCAAAAGTTGTGTATCAAACTCTAGCCCACTGTATGGCGCAAACCATCATTTGACGCCAAATTAGATAGATGCCAACAGGTTGCATCCCCCCATCCTCTAAAATCGTAACACAAAATTAATGATAACATCACTGTGTCACATGTTCTATAAAGGTTGTCCCTCCAGGTGTTTTTGTGCTGCATATTACTGAATTCAGAGTATCAAAATAATAATCATACACATACTGTAGTGTTGTTGGTATAAGATTTTTACTATGTACTAGGCCTATTTACTGTTCTGGGCATCATTCCAGACGATGGAAGCAGAGATGGATCCTGCGATGGCTGGTCCTCACTGCAGAACACAAAATCCAGGGGGAGGAATTGCATCCAGATCCAACTACTCCCACCTTACATAACGAAAAACGTACCGATCTCCACCCCTGATCCCTAACCCCACCCCTAATCCTACCCATCTCCACCCCTCAGATCTGGATCCAACTCCGCCCCCTGGATCTCGTGTAGCTATACTGCAATGAGGTGCTACTGGTGGAGTGGGCCTTTGTTTGAAATCTGGCTCATTACACTTTCTCGTAGGAAGGCTAATTGAATACACTATTACACTTACCAGGGTTGAGGTCCTTCTGTTATCATAATAATGTTATGATATTAATTTTAAGACTAAGGAAGGATACACAATAACAACAAAATACATTAGGCTACTTCAGAACGACATGCAGCCTACGCTGCAGTTTTTCAATCCAAAACATTTCTTTGCGAGTTTAGTCAAGCGGTAAAATGGCGCCCTCTGTTGTATTTTAGGTGTAATGCCTTGCTCCAGAAGATTGTATTTAAGGCTATGCATCTCTGATGTCAAAAATCTTATGTTTTTTACCCCCAGGAATATTTCTTCGCAAATTGCACACAACTGCTCCATTGCTAGGCTTAATGTTTTTTTTTAGTATAGGGGAGACTTGTGCTAGAAGTAATAAACTGCGGTCAATATTTCTCAGGGTGGGTTTATTACTAATTGTCAGTTTCTGTTCGGAAACATTTTTCTTTTGTCCAATCAACTTAATTATTTAAGTTGATTGGACAAAAGAAAAAAATGTTGTGATAACAAATCTTGAAAATATTTTTTTTACAGTGACATGTTTTTTTATTTAGTTGAGATAACTTATTATTTTGAGTTTCTGATGATTAAATGAATCTCATTTATTGTATGAACGCACTTTTTCCAGTTAAATCAACTAAAAATTTTAAGGCAGCCGGGTTACTTACTTTTTTTAAGTTAAACCAACAACATTTTTTTACACTGTGGAAGCTTGTTTCAACCACAGAATGAAAAATAAAAAAGGTAATTGCGACTTTTCATCTAACAATTCTGACTTTTTTTTTAACTCGCAATTCTGACTTTATTTCTCAGAATTACGAGAAATAAAAGTCAGAATTGCGTAATATAAAGTCGCAATTGCGTGTTGTAAAGTCAGAATTGCGTGAAATAAAGTCGCACTTGCGTGTTATAAAGTCAGAATTACGAGATATAAAGTCAGAAATGGTTAGTATAAGTCGCAGTTGTGTCATAAAGTCAGAAATGCATGATATGAAGTCGAAATTGCGTGTTGTAAAGTCAAAATTGCGAGATGTAAACTCCCAATTGTGAGGAAAAAAGTCTTTTTTTCTCGGAATCGCTAATTTATTTATCACAATTCTCGCGTCAAATATCTTGCAATTGTGAGATAAGAAGTTGCAATTTGTATTTATGTCTTTTTAATTCAGTGCCACAAACAAGCTTCCATAGGGTAATGCCTTAAAAGTCTTGGCTACAAAAAGATTTTTGAACAATTCAGAATTACGTTCAGGAAAAAAAATTGTTCCAAATACTATAACCTTTTGTGATAAATATGGAACAAGATATTCTTTAACATACTTCTAAAATACTAAATCTTTTATGGATAATGTGGAAATTACAGTTGTGCTACTCATAATAAAGGTGATGTTAAGGGTATTTAAGCAGAAAATAATTCGTGATATTTACAAAATAGTGAATCACTGTCATTTTGCCATTTACAGAGATTAACACGAGGCATTGAGAAGTTAAATCTGGAAGGGAAAAAAACAGAACACTGTCTAACAGAACACAATCCCTTTATTCAAGTATGAAAATGTAAAGCACATTTTTATTTGTAGCATACAATTCAATTATGTAATAGAAATCAACACAACTATAAAGGCAAATTATTTAATTTGAACAATCAGTCATCTGAAGAGGTCTATTTTATAAATCTGATTTTGAAGTGCATAGAATTTTGCATGACAGTAACATTTAAGTCCTACTAATCCTGACTGAATTGGTCCTTAATAACATAAAGGTGGGAGCACGAGAATATGGTATAAAAGAAAAACTCAAATCTGATACTGTTTTCTGTTTAACGATACTGTAAAACATAACGAACAACATAAAAACCTTCTTAACACAAAGTAAAGGTTTTGGTTTGCGCAAAACTGTCTGAGACTTAGTTTCTAAAGTATGATGTATTTTGCTTAAAGCTGAAAGACTGCTATAAAGTTAATGCTTCATATTGATCAGAACAAAGTTTAACCAATACTAATGAGTAATAGTATACTGTTAGTAATAACAGGCTGTGACCTTTAGCAGAAGGCACAATAACATTTCAATGAGAGAAATACAAAACAAATCTGATAAAACTGCTTCATGAATGACAGCCGCCATTTGGGTGAATCTCACGAACATGGGTCATATCTCACACAAAAATCAAAAGAAAAAATGAATTTACATTTGGTATTTTGAAAGAAAATAAAGCCAATTATTTGTGTGCGTGTTGCATTGTGTTAGTTATTATAAACATAATGTATAAAATAATTTCAGACTTTTTTTGTGATCAAATGTAATAATTACAGATATTTAATTTATTTCTTTGAAGTAAAATCTTTAATTTGTGACAAAAAACTATAATTGTATTACTGTTTCACTGTAATAACAATATTACTTTGTAATATTAAAGAAAGATATCGAGAATAATGGGTATAACAAAACAAAAATATGCTAAATGCAATATATTTTTCTATTTTTTTCTTTTGATTTCAGAGTTAAATGTGACCTGCATGTTTTTGTGAGAGTCATATGCTGTGTTATTAATTTGTTTTCCACTTCAGCAAATTTGTATGGACGATTCTGCTGATTCTTCACAATAAAATCAGTGCAAGGCTTTTCAGTCTGAGGCATAAACAACACAATGGTAACAAAAAAATTTTGAGCTATTATGCTTTTAGTTTGGTTTAAGTGGTTCACACGCCCTTTCATTTTGACATCATTTGATATATACACGTGACAGAAGTTTTAACATCCAAAATGGATGAACTCAAAAATCTGTAAACAGCATAAAAATAAAAAAAACTGGGGAAAACTGAACCCAATGAGCAGAAAGCAAAAATATTACTTTTTATGCACATCTTATTGAAAAGAAAGACAATAATGGAAGTTATAAAGGATGAAAGCTAGGACAAACTGAAATCGACTTGCATCTCTATTAATAAGACCTTATTATTAGAAAGGCCTACAAATAACCTCTCTACATCCTGCACTCTGGAAGATCAGGCAGAATCCACTTTAAATTCTCATAATAAAAAGATTACCTACATTGCAAAGTGCCTCTTAGTGCTGATTGCTAGAAAAAAAAGTTGTATGGGATTGTCCCAGCTGTACCGATTTAACTGTACTATGCCATTTGTCTCCACCCAGATGTTACCATAAACTAAAAAGGTTATTAAGCATAGTTTAGATGGAAGAAACAGAATTAGAAGAGGGAGGCTAGCAGCCTTGTGATTCTAACCTGAAAAACAGGGAAAAGGAAGGTTGTACCGCAGATATGGAAACGTGTTCACCTTCACATTCACACTTTAGCAGTCTAGTGGGTATCTGAAACTCAGCTGAGACTATTGAACAATCTCAGTAAAGTGCACCCCAGGTTTGTACCGCAGAAATACTGTATTCACTCAGGTAAATAAAGAACAAAGCTAAACATAAAGATTGAAATGAAACATTGTGAAACCGGCGTCCTGCAGCAGATGACTGTGGCTTGTTTTCGACACAGTGGGTTTGTGAAAAGACTGGTCAAGCGCACACGTCGCCATCCTTTTGAAACTTCTCAAGTGCTAGAAACAAATCAATCGGCCGTTATCCCTTTCTCGCGTAGTTCCTCTGTCACCCGCACAAGGTATGTAGGATCTGGGTAACCAAAGCTGGGAAAATAAATAAATTAAATTAAATTAAAGCTGAAGTTAGAAAGCTAAATGTTTCTCTATTTTTCCATATTAAAAGGTATTAAATTCATTTATAATCCAATGTACAAGTTTACACTATGGTTCAAACGTTTGGGGTCAGTACAATTTATTTTTATTTATTTTTTTTTAAATAAAAGTAGTTTGTATTCAGCAACAATTGACAGCACAGACATTTATATTGTTACAAAATACCAGCCAGTGTTCAAAACTATCTGTTTGCCTTAGCTCGATTCAAAGCGGGAAGCTTGTAATAATGTTTTTAACTCCAGTGATAATGGTGGATTTCCGCGGGAGATTCGACCATGTCTTTGCATCATTACGTCACATCTGTACACATAAAGAAGGAGTCTCGGCTAGTCGGCTATATTGCGTGTGAGGATTTTGTAGGATGATGTTTTCTCACAGCACTTGATAAAATTACCAATCACCAGTGACAACTAGAGATTCACTCGCTGTAAAAAGACTTCGTTTGGACTTCAGAGTGGCTACAGCAAAAAAGAGACAAGGATACATCTCAGAAGGCCATTACATAGTCACGCAATATTGACGTTGTTAACATTAACAATTTGCGAACAATTAAGTATAATTTGCACGGTTTTGCGTGATTTGATAACTTATAAGCGATTGTTAGATTTAATCAGTGCGATTTACTGCAATGTCAGAACCAGTCACTTGCTAGTTCAGAGGACATTTTCCAGTGAAAATTAAGGTGTCATATGCTGACGCTTTTGCCAATGCGTAGACATCCAACGCACATGGCACCCTTTAGCGTCAATATAACGCACAGCATATGGCTATGTTTAGGTCTGGGGTAGGGTTAGGGTTAAACCACTAAGAGGCGCCTTCTGCCCCATATATATCTGCATCTCATATTGACGCTAAAGGGTGCCATGTGCGTTGAATGTCTAATCATTGGGAAAAGCGTCAGTATATGACGCCTTGGGATGAGAATGCGTTGGAATGACAGTATCCACACCGGCGTGGTGACTGATTTTAAAAAAATCTTACCAACCACAATTTCTTTAACAGTAGTGTATCTCTGCACAGCCTTCATTATTATTATTTTAATGGATTTGTAAATTATGTAAAAGAATTTTTAATTGAATGTGGTATTACATGCATCATTAGAGGCCAGGTTTAAAATGCAACACGTTGCAAAATGTTATATTGTGTAATGTGTATACAATATTTACAATATGTAGTAACATCTCTGTCCTTGGCCAGAAAAAAAACAACAACTTGTAAATGTTTTTCATGTTAGAACGATCACGATATAAAGGTTCTATAGGATGAAAAATGTAGCTGGGATCTCCTCAAGCCTCTGTTTGGCTTATTAGAATTAATCAGACAAACATATGGCATATGAAACGTGTCACGAAAACATTTCCTCAATTTTTTTTCTATGAAAGCTGATCATGGTTTCAGGCATTTTTTACCCAAGTCGCTCTGATCATAAAGGTTTAGTAAATCAAAATGTACTAGAACCTCAAAAATCTACTGCAAAAAGTTAATTTAGTGCGTCATTTAACATATGGATTTTTGAATATATATTTTTGGGTTGGCTTTTATCCAAACCAACAGCTTTAATTAAAAAAATATGTTCAACTCAAAAGGCAATTCCAGTGAAGAGATGCCTGTGGTATAACTGATTTTCCCAGATATAATTTAGCAAGCAACATTAAATTGCATACCATCGTGGTCCGCCCCATATGGAGGTCTTGTGGTGGATATCATTCCAGGTAATAACATTATGCATGCCAGTGGTCATGGAGGTGCCTATGGTAAAGATCAGGCGCTGTTCAAATGCCCGTCGCAGCATGCAGAGGACACGGTTTCCCTCAGGGCTGTCTGGCAGGTATGCCACCCGGTCTGTGCCTGGGTACCTCACCCCAGGGTTTGGGTGCTCTTGCTGAAAGAATTATAAAATATAATAGTGTGTGATTACAGTTTGTGTGTGGAATTTGTATGTGCTATATAATGAAATCTGGTCTGTGGTTATCTGAATGCAAAACACTTGTCAGTTGTAAACCGCCCGTAAGCAGTACTTACCGCTTGCAAACCGGGAGGGAAACTGTAAATAATGCATATGCAGCCATAACCTTCATGGCCAGGCAACTCCAGGTCTTGGTCCCTTTCAACCATCATGCTCCCATTGGCCGGTTGGTTCCCGATAAGTTGACCATACACCAGCCTGCACACAGGACATGCCTTCTTTACTTGAAACGCCTGTTCTAAGCAGGACCGACAGAACGCGTGGCCACATTTGTCCAGAGTTGTCTTTTCCACAATTTCACCCATGCAGATAGAGCAAATGGTGCTCTCTTCTTCATGACCGACGGCTAATTCAGCCCCGGTCCTTGCCACTGCCTCATGTTGCATGGGTAAAACCACACAGGTCTCCATGTCTGCGTTTTTCCTGTACTTCTGCTGCTGCCTTTGCGAGCGCCGTGGTTGAGGGGGAGGCGGAGACAACAAGCTCCCTTCCCCGTCAGGCTCCACTGCCGCCACACACGGTAACAGAGAACGTTTCCTCTTAGGAGCCGCCTCCTGTTTGGTCATCTCCTTCCGGGCACAGCGGCATAAGTCAATGAAAGCTTTCCGTGTAACAGGAGAAACCGGCCCATCCATCATCCCAGTTCTGGCCCTGCTGCTGCCCTCCACCGGGGAGAGACGCACGGCACAGCAGCCGCCACGCTCCCCGCGTCGGATGATGTCTGCGCTTAGTCCCTGCTTGTCCTCGAAGTCGACCAACCAGGGCCGTCCAGCGGCTGCAAGGTAATCCCACACCGCCTGTGACACCAGCACCTCGTCACTGCCCTGCCCCGCACGCACGCTCATCTCATCAGATGAAACTGGGAGGAAAAGAGATCAGTTTGCAAGAGTAGTTCAAATTGCGAACAAATTAACAAATTTTGCAATTATTTAGTGCATTATTTTCCCAATATTATTGGTAAATAACATGAATCAACAATATATAGTTAAAAAGTAAAAAATATTTTTTAAATTGCATGAATAAATTTGATATGTTATATATGCATAGATACATGTTTCTTTTTCGTTTTTGAAAGAAAGATTTTTTTTTACAATTTTAAAATCATTTTTAGCTTAAAAATGCAATTTAAATGCTAATTAAACCAGTTTTAGATGAAATACTGCTGTAACTGATTGCTTGACTACAATTCTTGAAGTTAAATAGTAGCTTGTGCTTGTTACCAGTTCGCTCTTTCCTTGTCTTTAGAAACATATGATGGATAATACACGTGTAATGAGTCAACCCTGCATAAATTCACAATACTTCACACCTGACAAGAGCTGCAGGCTAGCATGCAGATTCTTCTCAGTCAGATCTTGCAAGCTCCCTGTACTTAATCTTTTATAAAAAAAAAAAAAATTTAAAATATTATAGGGTTTAATCATTATAATATAATTTACCCTTTCACAATCCAATTTATTTGTGACTGTGCAGCAGAAGGGTGGAATATTCTAGACAATGAAGTTTCTTGCATGAATGGGCTGTGCTGAGTATTATCAGCTCATTCAATACCAACAGGCAGCTGTGCAGAACCACATCAGCTGCTCTGAAATGTGTTCACTGTATAAACAAAGGATCATTCTGTGTTGCACTACCTGCTCATGAATGTCACTTGATGCTTGCAGAGTGATTACATTATTGAAACTAAATTACCTTGTGATCCCATAAATTCTCGTTACTTGCAGTAACAGGCCTATTTCCCTGTTTTAGAGAAAATAAATATACAAGTTAGTAGATCAAGACATTGTTTATATTTAGCGGATTGTCCAGCAACCTGACACACGAAGAAAATGATGATGGCAGCACGTTGCCTTTAAACCTAAGTATTGCTAAATTAAAAACAATAATAAATAAATAAATAACACAGTGACAAAGCCTATTGTGCTCATGTAATACATGAATTCACCTCCTGTAGTGACTTTGCCGGAAGAGATGAATATAAAGGGAACCTACCGCAACTAGAGAATGCCTGCTTCCACTCGACGAGGAAGTCAACAGACGACCGCTGCATTGAACGTGCCGTAAAAAAACTATGATGATTCTTGCGAATTTATGCTTGGGATATCCTATTCAAGTTCAGATGACACTTCGCTTGATCAACAGACCAGCTCAGTCTCTTTGTGGTTTCCCAATTCCCCGTCCTTGGTCAAAAGAAGACAACATGCATACAAAGAACACCGTTGACTGTCACGACGAAAGTGTTTTGTCTTTAGCTCCTTCGCGACTCTAACTCGGCGTCTCTATGTCATATTTCGTTATCACATAGTTCGCTTTCAGTAATTACAGTGAAAATGCCCTGAATACACGGTAATATAGGCAGGAAGTTCGTCACTCTTGTGGTCGTTGGTTGAGCCGGATTAGCAACTACAGGATGTGACCACTGTGTGGAGCTCTTTAAAGAGACCACATCATCAATCGTCTTGTATTGTTTGACCTTTGTGCTTTTTCCGATTAACTCCTTCACGGGATATGTATTTTGAATTATGAATCATTTGCAATTATGACTTTATTAAAATCACTGCCATTGCTTTATTTGTTTGTTTGCCGACACGTTTTGTGTATAGAAGCTTTAGCAATATTGTATGTAACGCAAAACATCATGCCAATAACGTACTTTAATTATAATATAAAATTATACAAAAGGAAACACTAAAACGTAAAATATCTAACACAGATAGATAGATCGATAGATAGATAGATAGATAGATAGATAGATCATTGTTTGTATTTTTAATATTATAAAGTCTAATTCTGACTATAGATAAAGGAAAAAGTAAAGATTATAATCATTGTTTGTATTTTTAATATTATAAAGTCTAATTCTGACTATAGATGAAGGAAAAAGTAAAGATTATAATCATTGTTTGTATTTTTAATATTATAAAGTCTAATTCTGACTCTAGATAAAGGAAAAAATAAATATTATACAAGAACAAATATTTGTCAATATATCACATTATTTATTCGTATGATTTGTATGCATAAATATTATGTCTATATTATGTAGTATGTTCCAGGATCATCGTGACATCTTGTACAGTCGAGGCGGAGCGAGGTCTGCGTTACTATGGAGACGCATTTGCTCAAGGTGCGCGCATAGTGCGGAGCGCGCAGCAGAAGTCGCTAGAAACGTTGAGGTGACGTCACTACGCGCCATTGAGTAGACTGACACGCGCGATTCGATTCGTGTGCAGGGTGACGGAGCGGCGCATAAACAGCTAGCTTCCGTCTTTATGCATTCGCTTTGAACTGACAGCATAAATTCAAAACACTAACACAGGCGAGAGGAGGAAAGGGTCAACGCAGATTTTTGTGTAAACTGAAAGAAGATATCGACATGTGAGTCTGATTGGCAGTGATAAGGATGCACGAACTTATTAGCTAGTTAGCAAATGTGTTCATAACCTCTATCAGTTAACGCTAAACATCAGATTTTCTCACATGCGGCAGTTATTAAATATAGACATTTAAGAGAATACAAATTATTCTCGGAAAGACGTTTTGAATAGCTTAGAAAAACCTTAATCGGTGGTGGAAACAGCGCACATTGCTTACACAGAAGAGCTTAGCTAGCTGGTTTGCAGCTAGATTGTCAGGGCCTGAAGTTATTGTAACTAACATGAGAATTGCTACTGCTCAGTTTGCTATTGCTTAATTCTTCTTAATTTAATACTTAATCTGCATGACTAGAACGTTCTAGCAATGTCCACGCCCCAGATTAAGCCTTACGCAGTTCAAGGTTTGCAGGGGCACCAGATAGATAAAAAGGTTTGCTGATATTACATGTTTAAGACGGTCTAAAATCAGCTAGTCTTCCAAGCTGGTGTTCAGTTGGCCAGCCAGTTGCCCTGTTGAAAGGTCTTAGCTTGGTCTCTCAGGCTGGTTTGTTGCATGGGTTTGGGTCACTTCATCTGAGCATGTGGGTTATAAGCCAGCTTCCAAGCAAAACCAGCTGAGCACCACTACAGAGACCATCTTAAGACCAGAGACCAACAGGCAATAATCCTGACCAGAATATCTATGTGTATTCAACTCCAGATTGTTCATTGTTATATACCTCCATTTAACTCTCAATATGTCAAATTAAACTTATTTGAATGGCATATATATATATATATATATAATCTTTAGCTGTAGTTCATGCAGTCAGTTAAAATACAGTAGAAAATATTAGAAACAAAATTAATATTTTTCAGGGGCTTGGTTCTTTCGTTGTTTTTGAAGCCCAAGGTAGATTGTTTAGAGGCCATGCAATGAACCTGCCAGTCAATAAAAACTGGTCTCAATGGTAACATCATTGTTGCTTTACCCCCGCCAGTGCCTCCTTCTCGCACATCTTAATTTAGAGCTGTGCTTTTCGTGTGGAGTTCTGGAGTTTGACTTTTAACTAATGCACTTAGCTGGTTACTTAGTTCACCATGTTCCCCATTAGAACTAAACAACATCGCTTCATTTCAATGCCATATTGAAGTGTTGTATAACTTTAAATTCTGCATGCTCTTTCAAATATATCAGTTTTAATTCCATTTGTTTTACAGGCAGCCAGCAACTGCCAAGTGGTATGACAGACGAGAGGCAGTCTTCATTGAATTCTGTATAGAAGACAGCAAAGATGTCCGAGTTCAATTCAACAAAACAAAGCTTGATTTCAGGTACATCCATTTTCAAATTGTTATATAATGATACTCCGTTAAAATGTTTTAGTATTTGCACTGCAAATTGGAGTGCTTGCCTCTTTAGTGTTTTAAAGTACAATATAGTGCTATAGTAGTTAATTCTAAATTGTAATATGCTATATTTTTTGTTTTAGTTGTGTTGGAGGAACAGATAACATGAAACACCATAATGAAGTAGAACTATTTGAGTCCATTGACCCAAATGTAAGTACTCCACCTTAGGGGTTGTCACGGTACCAACATTTCAGTAGTACCAATGCCAGTCAAATGTTGCTGTTCTCGATACCAATTTGTGTACCAGAGCAAGAACTGTTGAATTAAATACTTTAAAAAAATGTTGTTCTATTTTGTCTTGTCCATTGTTTATCACTGTCAATCATAACAGTTTCCGATTCAATTAAAGTGCAAGCTCACTGAATAATGCACTCTTGTGAATAATAAAAAAAATCTGTCTTAATTGTTCAATGAATCTCTTATTTACTTCATGTTTACTTCATGGCTCACATTAAACAAACAAAAAAAAATGGGGTTTTTCAGTGGTGTTAAGCCGATTCTCATTAGCAACTCTGATTGGCTATAATGGTCAACGCTTAAAAAAAAAGAACACAATAGACAGCGTCAACACAGAAAGCAGCGTCTATCAGCAGATGCCCAAAAATACCTGGTACTTCAGAAATGCTGGTACCGTCAAGTTTTTGTTTTGTTCCGACCGGTACCAGTAGTAACGGTACGTTTGACAACGCCACTCCACCTGATAGTTTCCTGTCTGATTCAGGTTGTAAGAGCTCAATCTGCATGGCTCATGGTGTTCTCATTGGATTAAGAGATACTTAGAACTCTTATTCTTTTGCAGGACTCTAAACATAAACGCACAGACAGGTCTGTTTTTTGCTGTCTAAGAAAAGCAGAATCTGGCAAGTCTTGGCCAAGGTTAACAAAAGAGAAGGCGAAGGTCAGTGTTGGGTCCGCTTAAACTATTATAATGTAACTCCAATAAGATCCCTTTTGGTAATTGATGTTTCTCTTGGTTCTTTGTGCAGCTCAATTGGCTCAGCGTTGACTTCAATAACTGGAAAGACTGGGAGGATGACTCGGATGAAGAATTGTCCAGTTTCGATCGCTTTTCAGAGGTTCATGTCTATATATATATACTACTATTAATAATAATATTAATACATTTCTGGGAAAATAATAATTTGTCAAAATAAATCATAATCATTTGCATTTGATTTGTTTGATTTTAAAGATGATGAACAACATGGGAGGGGAAGATGACCTACCAGATGTGGATGGTGCAGATGATGTGAGATAATTATTGAAGAAATAATATTATTTTTAAATGACTGTTTTATTGTAAGTTAGTTAGTTAATAACCTAAAAATAAAGTTTGTATAATTGCGCCATTGCTGAAATGTTCTCCGTGTTTGATCTGATTTTATTTCAAATTCCAGGAGGAGTCTGTGGATAGTGATGACGAAAGTAAGTTCTCAAATTATCTGTCTGTCCTCTGTAGCCTTTTTTTTTTTCATTATTCACTAAATTATAAAGGGTTAGCTGCTATTAAACTTTATGCTGCATTTATTGGTTAAACATTTTAAATGAAATGTATTCACTTTTTTAATTTATTTACAAAAATATTTCAGAAATGCCAGACCTTGAGTGAAGGAACAGGACACCGTCATGCAGAAGAAAGCAAGAACTTTCATCGAACACTTAAAAGAAGAGAGAGACTAAGTTTGAGTTGGTAGCCATTTAAAAACTGCATAGTTTTCAGAACTGTTTTTCAAGGTCTTTCTGCAGAAAGTCACAAGGAATGATTTTTACTGTTGTGTTGATGGCAACGTTAGCCCCTCGACAATGCATACACACTTTACTTTACTGTTCTGCATGGACAATTACGAGCTCTCAATGATGTATTGTGGACACCAGTTATGGTCAGTTTACTCAATGGCTTCTAAGTCTTGGGCTTTTCCTCAGTGTCAGTGGGGTTATTGCATCATGTAATGTTGACATTGTAATTTGTTGTAATGGAAAAAGGACATGAATGACTATTTCAACATATTCTGTCTTCTCCATCTCATTCAAACTGTACATTTTATTTAATTCATTGGTTTGTTCCTTTGTGTTTAAGCTGTGATTTCCTTGAAAGAAGCATTTTCTTAAGGTACATGCTTCCTCAATGTCAGCCAAGACATTTGGTTTTCACTAGTGCTATATTTCACATCAGAATGGCATATTCAAAACCCTTGCACTGATTTATTGCAAACCCCCATTTTAAGTGTTTTAGCAGCAGTTTTTATGTGTGTCAATCCAACATGTTCAAAGTGCATAATCATGTCTGTACACACTGCTTGACAAAATAATTTCAGGTTGGCAGTTAGTATTTGTTGTTTTGTATGACACATAGACGTGTAGCGGGGAATCGTGCACTGGTTTCTTCCATATATGTAAAGACAAGTAATAAAAAATATGCTCACCGCTGTACAGAACAAAAGGGTAACTTCTCAACAGATTTAAAAAACATTATCTATAGATGACCTATTTGTGTTTGCACTCTTAATATCAATGCAGGTGTAAGTAAAAGATAAGTAAGAAAACTATGTTGTGACCTGTCATTTCAGGTCTATAAATTTCAGTTTGTTAAAAGCAGTGAGGTTTTTGTCTACATATTTCTAATAAACTGTCTCTAAACAACACTTTTTTTGGTCCTATGTTTGTACATAATTTTGGATAATTTGCAGCAGTGCGCGATATATTATCCAATATTTGCGTTTATTAGATTTTAGCAGTAGCTAATATTGTCTGGTTTTGGCAGCATATATCGTGTTGTCGCATTCACAATTAACCCTCAATTCTAATATTGAGATTTATCGTGAACACTGTTAAAACGGATATTGTGTAATATGGATTTATCAAATCGGTGACAGGACAGGACATTTTGTTTGTGCATTCCTAAAAAAAAAACATCCGGAACATTTTGTCCTTACTTATGAAAAGAGAGCAATTGTGCTGCTGCCACAAGATGTCGCTATAATTCCATTTCTGCTGAACAGGTCTGCAAGAATGAAACTGCACTTTGTGTTTTTGAGAAGTGATACTACATTAGACAGGACTGCATCTGTTTTTAAAGCTAAAAGTGTGGGTGAAAACAATACTCTGTGTATTATAGAGTTGTTTAACGTTTGTTTTCCTTTTCTTTATTGTAAAATGACTGCATTTATATAGTGCTTTCACAGACCTAATGGCCACCAAAGCGCTTTACATTTCCCTCACATTCACCCATTCACTCACTCATTCATACACCGACGGTTTTTTAAATCAGTTCATCCCAGAATTTAAGAAATTACTTCAAATTCACAAAATTCTTGTTCAACCACATTAGGTGGAAGGATCCAGTGATTCCAGGCAACAATTTCCTGATCATACTATAGTTTGAGAGGTCTCATTTCTAGTTGGACCATTAATGTAAGAAGGTAAAGGTGTCATTGAGCACTTATCTTCAGCCCTCAGTTTCTGGAGTCAAAATAAAGGGCTTCCTTTTAAACCTTCCATTTTTAAAGGATGCTTAGAGGTTTTAAAATAACTAAAGATGACTTTAAAGCCACACTGCCAAGTGGCGCTCGACCTGTAACTTTCGCGTCTAGCGTCCCTAGAGGCCACAAGCGATGCAGCAAAATTAAAGTCAACAAAAAGTCAGCCTCCCGTGTCTTTAGATTGTGTGTGCTTGCAATGTTTGAGGCGGGCCGGGCAGCCTTACCGCGCTCAATTATAGCAGTCTGCTGAGAGAGAGCGAGCAGGGTGAGCCCCGTGGCCTATCATGTCTGTGAGTGAATGTGGGCGCGGGACAGCGGGCACATTCACTCCACCAGAGCCCGTCTAACGGAGAGCCTTGGCACTTCCTATTAGCCCCATTGTGCATCACCTTGGTTGCAGTTCCATTAGAATTCCACTGGAGGTGATCACGGGCGAGTGCAGATTGCAGAATGAATGGGAGTCTATGGGGCTAAACGGCTAAATGTGTCTCTTTCACCTGCATGTTGTTAAATCAAAATAGATTTTATTGTTGATTCCGCAAGTTCAATGTAGATTATAGGCCAAAAGTCGAATGAACGAGTACTTATGTCCTTTTGATTTCTTACAGGTTAGGCTGTTGTTGGCCAGAACACGCTAGCATTCTGCTATTGTGTGACGTCATCACATTTTTGAACGGATTTTTAGAACAGATAAGTCAACTTAAACATGCAATTTTCAGCTGAGTGTATTTTCTTAGCCCTCCCTTTTGAATGCAACTTTCAAATTACTTGACAAAAAATTACATCCTGAGAAAAGTGGATTTCTGGGGGTGAACCCCATTGACCCCCATTCATTCTGCACTCGACCGCGAGCGCCCCCGCATGGACAGAGACGCGTTACTGCAGCCAGTCGGCCTGAGCTGACTGTAACGTTATGTGTGTTGGTTTATTTTTATAGAAACCGTGGGACATGTGGAGTGTAGTGTTTGTGGGTACTACTGAGTCGTGGGCACGTTCACTACATTTAATGTAACGTTATATTTGACATGAGTCGATTTTATTAGTGCGAGCCCTGCACTGAGGCGGTCTGTGTTTGTGTGTAGAAATGAACACTGCTGTGGGCATTTTATTACACTCATAACTGTGGCCGGAATACCAGAAAATACTACACTGCTTATATGAATTTATCTGGGTTAAGTTACCTTGGAAACGGCATTTGTGTGCAGGCAAGCGTCCGCATCGGTCGAGCACTCTTCCTCTCACGCCAGCGAGCGAAGCGAAAGCTGGACCAAAGTTAATCCTCATCCTGGCTTTTAATTTGTCACTCTCCCTTTTCTTTTTTTTAGTTTCCTCTGATAAAACCGTTGCCTTCTTCCTTGTAGCTGTTGTTCGGCCATGACGAAAACATACAGACGGCAACGGCAATCAAACGCGGGTTGAGCTCAAATGTTAGAATCTGAGGAAGTTTGGGGTGGTGAGGGAAGTGACGTAGGCCGGAAAGCGGTCTTGTAGTTAGTAGTTCTTTTTGTGCTCGGGTTCCTACCATAGACAGGGTTCCTACCGAAACCCGAAGTTACAAAGTGCTAGTAAAAGCGATACAGACACCTTCAGGGTACGGCACGGCAGATGTGTCATTCAAACGATTTTAAGTCGATGTACCATCTCAATGGGTTTTGGTAAAATATTATAAAGGTTGAAGAGTTCCACAGTGTGGCTTTAATAGTAAAATTATGTTAGTTTTAAATCAAGATTTACCTGATAAGCAAAATTACACATAGGAAATTAAGTTAACGTTTGCTTAAATTGGTCAGAAATATAAACTTACAAAGATATTTGTTACTTAAAGATATTTTTGATATTCTTGATTTTAAAAAATGTTTAAATATTTTTATGGTAAAACAACACAAGCACTTAGTAGGAAAAGCTTTTTCTTTTTTTTTGCTGTTTTAACTGTTTGTCAGAGATGTTTATTGTGCATTCAAAATGAAACCAGGTTCTTCTTAAATACCTTAACACAGCAGATGGAGATGTAATGGTATCTGGAGGGACTGTATGTTCAGATCAACAGTTGATGGGTTGAGTTTCCTGAGCTAGTGTTTTGTTTAAGACAGTGGTGCTGTGGGAGGTTGTGTTGGTGTCAGCAGTCTGCACCAGAGGTAATAGAAAAGTCCTCACGCAAGCGGTTTTAAGCTGTCTCTCCCGTGCGACAAAAGGTGGCTTACGGACACATGAGCAGGCAATGGCGTTGGGTAATCCAGCCCACAATAGATGTACACAAATTCGGTTGCTCTGAGCCGGCCTTGCAGAGCTACTGCAACTTGCAACCCAACCGGAATCACCTGCTTCCACAGAAAGTGCAACTGGCCTGATCGTTTTTTTTCACCAAACATGAAATTGGATATAGAGGGGGTCAGATATATGATCCCTTGATTGCTTAGCTAATACCCATCTTTGGTTAAGGAAGTGCTTCTTCTTAAAGAACCACATTGTATATTGCAACATGACTGAAAAGATTATAACTGAAGGAACTTGCAATCTGATATTGAATGTTTTCTAAAATTGTTTATGCCTATGTTAAGTTCACACTTTGGCGTTTCGACCAAGTATCACACTTCTTGCTCTAATAACATTTGCAAATAAAGCACTTATCATTTGAGACAATGGCCTGACCACACACACACAAAAATCGAATCAAAGGCAACAGAAACTGTTGCGGCCAGCATTTTGGTTCATCCCAAATGAAAGAGCAAAAGCACAAGCAAAGCAGTATCCTTTCACTAGACTAGCTCACCATGATTGCCCAGAGAAGAGGCTCAGTGTTGCTCTCGCCCCACTATCACCTCCTGCCACCAAACATGGATTTTCCAGAGCTTTATTGGGCCTTAGGCCAGCGGTCCCGCCAGCACACACAATGTAAAACTCTGCCTAATCACTTCTGCACAGAACCAGCTGGCTCTGCCCTGACCAGGGAATGGAGGTGCTACGGCAAAGCCCTCATTGTGTGCAGTGGAGAAGTCACCATTTCATGCGGTTACAGTAAAAATGGTTTCACAAGCATGCGATTTGTGTGGTCTGCTGTGTGTTGATGATGACACAACTATTAAATGCCACAAGCAAAGTGTTTGAAATGATTCAGCAATGCAAAACTACAATGCATTTATCCAAAGCTTAACATTGCATTCTATATTTTAAATTTATTTTTAATTATTTTAGCAGAATAAAACATCTAGCAAATATTATATTTACATAAACAGCATCATATGTGATATTCAATTGTGTTATTTTATTTTGATGTTGTTACTAAAAAACCTAAAGACTTTTCTGTCCCGTGCATGTAGAGTGTTTGTTATGATAGGTTCCATCTAAGTGAGGCTTCCTTCTGTTGTATGAGAGGGTTTGTTTCTTTGTGTCAGCACTTAATCCACACTGTGAAGGGCTCTAGACCCTTTTAGGGGCCCTAGTGTTGTAGCTGGGGCCAGAGAAGAGGCAGTTCCTAAACACTGTTCTCTGTTGTGCGCTGGGATGGGACAGTGATTCTCAGCAGCTGTTCTTCTAAATGTCATCATGTTCCCAAATCTTATCAATACACCATTTCCCTTTCATCTGCTGTTAAAACATTTATATTTCTGACCTTATAATTACCTTTGTCCTCCAGTTTGAGATGTTTTAGTTGAAAACTAAGTTGAAAGTAAAATTTCCCACCACGATTCGTTTAACATTTCACCGTTCCTAAAATATTGCAAGCTTTCCGGTGACGATCATGAGCTAGAAGGAAGCGCAGGACAGAAAAGGGTTAACAACTTTTTTTGATTTGATTTGTTGTTTTGTCTGCAGCCCCCTCCCACAATTCAGCCAAAGGATTATAGTGTCACTGAGGGTCACGGTCGTTATAAATACCCCTGTGGCCTCTCCCTTCCCCATCAGAGAGGTTGAATATCTGCAGGACATGCTCATCATTTGTCTATCTGTGTTCTTTTATTAAATCTCATCTCGGACTTTCACGTAGATGCAGAGATCACCAGCCAGTTTCACACTTAAGGTTTTATGACAAAAACCCCAAGGTAGAAATTAGCGGAGCAAATGATTTCAGTCTTGTGAAGCAGGGCTGCTTTTCACGCGAACTTCTTTGTAGGTCATAGGGGCATTTATGCTCGGTTTTCCATAGTTTATACGCCTTTGTGTTCAAAGGGAACACATCCAGATCTGAGAGGAAGCTCTTGGAGGTTCTTCTCCTTCTCACTCTCAAGTCCCTCCATATTTTTTGGCGTCGCCTCCGAGTCATAGCAGCCATGTGGGAGTTCCGGTCCATGTCTTTTTGGCGGGCTGTGTTTGCCGAGTTCTACGGCACCATGTTCTTTGTGTTCTTCGGGCTGGGAGCAGCTCTGCGCTGGACCACCGGGCCACACAACGTGTTCCAAGTCGCCTTCTGCTTCGGGCTGGCAGCTGCCACACTCATCCAGTCCATCGGCCACATCAGCGGTGGCCACATCAACCCAGCCGTCACGTTCGCCTACCTGATTGGCTCCCAGATGTCCCTGTTTCGTGCTTTCTTCTACATCTGTGCTCAGTGCTTGGGCGCGCTGGCTGGAGCCGCGGTGCTGTATGGGGTCACGCCAACCAACATGAGAGGCAATCTGGCCCTGAACACGGTAAGAGGGTGTATTTGAATCAGTGAGTTCATTAGTCAAAATAATGGCTTATTCACAAGTGACACAAACTGCTTTAAACCATCGAGATAATAACAGTGGACGATAAATGTGTTTTGGATAATTTTTTGGCAGTTTTTCCTACAGCGTATGCGTATATATGCTTTCAGCTTCAGCCAGGCATCAGTCTGGGAATGGCCACCACCATAGAGATATTCCTGACTCTGCAACTCGTAGTCTGCGTCTTCGCTGTGACGGATGAGAGGCGAAACGGGCGACTGGGGTCTGCTGCCCTGTCCATTGGTTTCTCAGTGCTTGTGGGTCACCTGCTGGGGGTAAGAGGACATCCACAGGACAGATTCAGTCTTAAAAGCAGCATTGGTTTTAGCCTCATGGCCCCGATTGTCCAATGCAAAACAGCACTAAAATGTTAACAAATAGTAAATGCATAAAAAACCTCAGGTGCTTAGCACATGAAACAAACTCTAGTAATTAAATAATTCGCTGGGATCGTTCACCTAGAAATGACAAGGGTGATTAATACTACATAGCGTATCTCAATTGCTTGTATTGTCACATTCTATTAAATGAAGACATTGAGATATTATAAACATTAAAGTGATACTCCACTTTTTTTTTTTTTTTTTTTGGAAATAGGCTCATTTTACAACTCCCCCAGAGTTAAAAAGTTGAGTTTTACCGTTTTTGAATCCATTCAGCTGATTTTCTGATATTTAGAAGAATATCAGTAACCAGACAGTTTTTGCTCTCATTGACTCATTTTCCTACTATGGAAGTCAATGAGACCAGAAACTGTCTGGTTACTGGTAGTCTTCTAAATATAAAAAAAAAAATCGTCTGAATGCATTTGAAAACGGCGAAACTCAACTGTTTAACTCTGGGGGAGTTGTAAAATGAGCCTATTTCCCAAAAAAGTGGAGTATCCCATTAACATCATGATTTTCTGTAAAACACTAGCCTAAATTTGACTTGACATGAATCTCATTGCAGATGTATTACACTGGAGCTGGAATGAACCCTGCCAGGTCTTTTGCCCCTGCTGTGTTGTTTAGGAACTTTAATAACCATTGGGTGAGGCACATTTCCATCATATTCAGATGAAGAAACATTTCGCGTATTGAATCATAAACGTTACCGTTTTCCGTCTGTTCTCGTAGGTCTACTGGGTGGGTCCTCTGATCGGCGGTGCTATGGGCGCCCTGCTGTACGACTTCATGCTCTTTCCACGCATGCGCGGCCTGTCCGAGCGACTGGCCGTGCTCAAGGGCAACCGACCTTCTGAGGCCGAAGCCCAGCAGGAGACCAGAGGAGAACCGATTGAGCTCAAAACACAAGCCTTATAAACACTGCCAGGAAACTTTGAATCTCTGAAGCAACACGTAACTTACATACGATCATTTCACACACCTCATCTTCACACACCTCCGACATACCAACAAAGTTTGCCATAGGGAGAATCACACACACACTTCCAAAGGCAATCGAGACACTATAACCCCTTCCCAAGGACTAAGAATGAGGGTAAGATGACGACTTCCTGCTGAGGACTGCGCTCTGTACCTCCAGGTATGGGGAGCGAGATCAGGTGGCTAACGCCGCTCAGGGGCACCTCTGTCGTTTCTAGTCTACTAAGAGTGAACTACGCTAGAAGTGGACTTCTGCATGCTTTCCAGTTTCACAGGGTTGAAATCTCACACATTCATTTCATTTTAGTTTATTTTTTCTTTGATTTTTCAGAGATGTGACACGTGTACAATATTATTAGCATTTTGCAACAGATTTCTTTACATTTTACTTACAGTCGACATTATTCAGTTGTGCTTGGTGTGTGTGTGTGTTTTCCAGTTTGGCTCTTCCATTTCCACCATTCGCCTTGTGTTTGTATCAATGCGATGTTCTTTTTTTCTATCCCTCAAAATGAAGGAAACATTCTTTTAAATCTTGGGTTAGGTGGATGTTTATTCACGACTAAAATCTTCATAAATCCTTTGGGAATTTGGATCCCTGTTTGAGTCTGTCTCAAGCTGTTGTATCGTTTTAACTGTGGCCTAATGGTCCAGTATGTGTTTCTTTAAAAGAAGCACAGTCACACATAATTCATAATATAAATATATATATATATATATATACACGCAAAACTCAACTAGTCTATTGTTATACCATAACTTTGACCTGATACAAGCACTTGATCCCCCTCCCTCCCTCCCTCACCATGTCATTTTAAAAACTACTGTTTCAATGAACTTTTTCTGCCATAAAACTGCATGCCTAAATTTTGTGTTTAGATTAATGGGTTTGGCATTATTTTGTGTGTACATAGCTAAACTTAAGCTAAAGCAATGATATTTTGTCTCGGGCAAGAGAATATTTGTGTAATTCATTGTAAAAGAAATTGAAAAAAACAAAATTGGTTCAAAACATTATGGATACAGTGACAATTCCTGTTTTTTACAGATGGAGAGGGATTTGTTAAGGTCATTTAGTCACCTCTTCCTCATTGGCCTGCGATTAGAGGATTGCCGAGTGACTGAGATGTCTGGATTTAAATGCACATTAATGTTCTTGTAGCATATGGATCTGATAGAATGAAAAGGCAATTACTCCACCCGGGTGTTCTGTCACTCTTTTCCTCTCTGCACTCTTTCCACTCTTCTACCAGTGTCTTGGTGTTCAAGATCTGACTGAAGGGAGACAAGAGGGCTCGGTAAAATCAGATATCATTTTGTCATCAAAAGTCTTGTGCAAAATGTAAAGATGACCTTTTTTTGACTGTTGAAGCTAGCTGAGTATAAATAATCATTTCAAGTTAGTAACTGTCTCCTCTCTGGTAATTTAACGAGGGTGGCGTCTGAAATAATGCCACAGAGTCTCGAATGGCATTTTGACTTTATTTATCAGATTTTTAACATAGAAATTTGAATATTTCTTTGAAAAAAAAATCATATATATCTGCTTTACACATTTGGTCACGTGTATTAAATGAAAAAAATTGCAACTTTGACATTTTTTAATGACAAATGCATTAAGTGCTTTATGCTATTCTTTGGCAGATAACATGATTTAGATGAAATCTTCAGGATCAATAATCAGACAGGAGTATATCTAGCACAATCATCCGTTTGACCTACAGAGAGAACATCTGGATAGACAACAGAGACGAAATTGTGTGGTATTCCCCAAAAAGGACTAAATACATACAAACAGTTACAGATGGCACCTTTGAAAAAAACATCCCATTAGATATTTTCCTAATCAAAGCACTAAGATGAACGATTTATATTTTACAAGATATAGAACAGTATTGTTGAAAGGTAAAAAAAAAAAAATCACAGTTTATGGAAAGGAAAATGTATATTACATTAAAAATTTAAGAAAGATGACCTATAGTACTAAGGACTTAATACAGAAGAGGTGAACACATAGAACACTGTAGAGTATGTAGAGTCATTATTATGTCTACTTTTTATATGAAAACTTAGTTAATTTGTCCACACAAGATGTATTTTACATGATTCATACTCATAAATTATGTAATGAGAGGCTTGCGAAATTGAGTTCATGCTGTGCAAGTTAAGGTGGGGACACACTTAATGACCGCAAGGACAATTATGAATGTAATTTGAAACTTACGTCTGATCATGCCAGAACGCGCCAGTTGCGTTCAGTCGCTGTTCACAGTCGGTGTTTAAAATCTACTCCAGTCGTTGGAAACAGTCTGTAAGTGTGTTCAGTTCAGTCTTAGAATGTTTCAGCTAGTCGTTAAGTGTGTCCCCAGCATTAAGGAACAAATGATATATGACAGAGTTAAGTAAAACTCACCATTGATAAGCAGTTAATAAAACTGAGATTTTAGTTTTACTGGCCAGAAGCTGACAGTGGAATCATATGAGTACTAAATATTGAAAATTTCATTACAAAAAACTCATGCAAATAAAACAGCTGAGTGAAAAACTGTTTATATCAAAAATGGTACAAAAGTAATAATTGCATATAGTTTAATAAAACTTTTGTCTGTGTCTAAAAGAGCACATGTGATGCTATTCATTTCTGCTTACCTCACCAAATCTGTGTCTGTCTCATTCAGGACATTGTTAATCTACTCTGGTGACATAACCACACTGAAATATGCTAAATATGTTTTATGATGATCATAACTATCATTAAAAAAAACTTCTGGTATACACAAATGTGTGAGTTCAATGGAAAATACAACCACTTGATAGCAAACAATTTCCTGTTTCACTTGTCAGTTAAAATGCTGCTTTCAAGAGATTTCATTTGACAGAAACAGGGAATGACTAAGCAGTTTAGGTACTAAAAGCTAATGCGCAAAGGCTCTTTTTGCCAACACTTCACCTGCTTTCTCATAGAAATTATACAAGTTGCTATTAAACATTATTATTATTACTACATATTATTATTGAGTTAAACACACTGGTCCTTTAAACTGCGTGTTTTTTTATTTGCGGGAGGAAGCGAGTGTGATGCCGAGTTGTTTATGCAATCCATGCCATAATTTCCATCCCTACAGATACACTTGTTTTTAGAGCAAATGGGTGATGTGTCATTTTAGGACATATGAATTGCTCTGGAAGTCCATGAAGCTCCAAGCCATTTGATAGATCTCCACAAGCAACAGTGGGACTGTACCTCTTAATGATGTACCTAAAATTGATCCAAAATTTCATCCAGCGAATCCATGTCATCTGAGGGAGCTAGTGGCCTGTTATAGAATAAAGAAAAATGAGAACGTTAATAAAAAACAGCCGTGTGATTGATGGAAAGACATATGCTACAGTTTACCTAAAAATATAGATTTTGTCATCATTGACTCAAGTCGTTCCAAATCTGTATGCATTTCTTGAAGTCATCATGAAATCAAATCTTAACATTCGTATTTTTTATATGTAATATTGTAGTGTTTATCATAAATGATTTATCTGTGCACGTCATTATTTATTCATATTACTTATAATCTTTAATCAAAAACGTTACCCTTCTCTCCCCCCTCGAAATAACTTCTCTTCCGGTCAAAAACTATTACTAGTGCCGAAGTTTGTAGGACAACTCGGAAGTTAGCGGCGCATGGGTTTCCTCCATCAAAAAGCTATGCATTTTCCCTATAGACTTTTGGAAAATCGCCGTGTTCAACAAAGAGTTGTGACCCTTACATGTTTTGGCTATCAAGATAATCTTTACAAGTTAATCCAAAATGTATACATTTTGAAGCCTATATAAAGTAAAAAAATAACACAAGCAGACACAATAAAGTTTAAAAAACCCACAAGCAGGTTATAATTGGTGTGTTTTATGTCATAGATCAAAGCATGAAAATATTTAGAGGCTTTGTTCACAACAGACCTTATTTCAGGTGATTTAGCAAAAACCCATTCAAAAAACCCATAGACTTCAGGGCGAGGAACCGGACGTGCTAATGCTAACTCACTTCTGTGTTTTGGTCTACAAAGTGACATCATAACTTCGGCATTCAATTGGGGTCTGTCTCTTCTCTGGCCCGCCTCTCAGAAACCTGTGATTGTCACTGACAGCCAGCAAATATGGTCTTTAGGTGCATTTTTGGTTGTGCTCCTGACTTCCTCTTTCCTACCCCTAAACAAGCTTGTCTGCGTGCCCACTGGCTCAAATTCCAGCATTTGAATTATGGCTCGCTGTTGCCCGCCACTTTGGCTGCTCATCCTCGTTCTCAAAAAAATTCTTCATGGGAGGGGTACGGTCGTGAGAGAAATCCTCCACAACTGACTGTAAACTGGCATTCAAATCTGCCTCCATTTTGTTAGCAACGCCCAACCTCCAACGATCCAATCAATTCCCGAAGGACGAAATCAAGCCCCGCCCTAAATTTTTCCACTCAAAGTCGTTTCACTCAGATACACGTCACAATAAGGAAAAAAAGGACTATCTCAACTTCCGTTTCATGATGACTTTAAATACAAGGGATTTAATGTGACTGTGACTTACATGGCTGGTGGGTAGATTGGTCCTGGAACAGACATGGGGTCTGACATATATGTGGGTGTACAATTACTTGGATGCCTGGGAAGGGCAATAGAATGGCAACAGTCAACAGTGTTGTTTATTAAAGAGATCAACCATTTAATTCAGCAAGGATGCATTCAATTGATCAAAAGTGATTTTTAAAAGTTTTCCTTTAACAAATACAATGGTTATATTCATCAAAGAGTCTTGGTTTCACCAAAAAAAAAAAAAAAAAAAGGTTTCCAAATCAGCATATTAGAATCATTTCTGAAGGATCATGTGACACTGAAGACTGGAGTAATGATGGTGAAAATTCTAATTTACATTTTACAATTAAAAAACAGTAAATAAATGGCTATTTTAAATTCTAATAACATTTCTCGATATTAGAGTTCCCTTTCGTTGTCACTCCGAGTTCCGTCGGATGATGACGAATGAGGTTTTCGCATGGAAAGCCTGTCAGCTTCCATCAATATAAAACGAGCCAAAGGCAAAAATTGCCATGGGTCAGCGGATTTTGCATAGCGTAACTCAGCCTCACCTCATGGGTATTTAAGGAGGACGCTGGCAGCAAATCAGACATGTTTTCGCTAAGTAATAAAGATTGACTCATTACTTGTAGAAGATTGTGAGCTTTTTTAAGCCTAAAATGCCCATTAACAGTGTTTCAAATTAGAGACTGTTTTGGCAAGAATGCCTCCAAAGCTTGTCATGGATGTGTAAGTTTACAACAAAGCCTTCTGATCCAAAAATATGATTGCCATTTCCATTTCTACATGACCCACGAGCAGACAGATGTTAATGAACTTCCGAAGCCAAAGTATAACTATACTTACGGTGGGAAATGATTCTGATTCCTGTGGGAAGAAAAGAGGTATTTTACACACCACACAATTAAGACTTTTAAAAATAACTATACTGCAACAATACGGACATCTGTGGCTGTTTAATTGTTTCATTAAAGATCTGATTGCTCAAATACGCACATAGTTAGTCCATAGTCTGGGCCAATAGAGAAATCCGGAGCGAGGTCAGTCTGAGGTGGCATGCTGGGAGTGGAGGAGCTAAGGTCTCCTCTTATCATGAAAGAAAACATAATTATGTGAGGGACATTGTCAAAGTCTTCAGTACTTTGTGCTCAAGTTAAATGATTTGAATACCTAATATAGAAGCAGTTCTCTTTTTATACCCCAAGTTATTGTTGTTAACATAAGAAAATGGCTCTGTGCTCATTTAAAAAATCTATGAAACATAATATACATTTACAGCAAAAATTGTACTTACGGGTTGACTACTGTTGTTAGTTTGAATGGCAGGTATCCATCAGGATTAGGGGGGGAAATCACTGGTGTCAGGACACAAGAAAACAGAAGCATAAATCTTGGACTGTTTGTGTTATGCATCATTTTTAATGAAATATTCAAATATACTAGGTACATTTTGTGCATTTTCTCTTTTTGGTGAAACCTTAAAGCTGCAGTCCACAGTTTTTCCTCTTTGTCGCCATCTCTGTTCAAAATCTGCAATTACAGTCGTTCACGGAATTAACAACTAAAGCCCGAAACGCACCAAGCCGACGGTCGGCCGTCGGGCAGTTTTTGTGTGTTGTCCGACTAAGTTTCCTCGGTGGGTTCCATGCCTCTTCGGCTTTGTTTCGCCCGATTCAACGTAATGTGACTTAATGACTCAATATAGCAACTAGCCGAGACTTCTTCTTTATGTGTACAGATGTGACGTAATGACGCAAAGACATGCTTGAATCTCCTGCGGAAATCCACCAGTATCACTGGAGTTAAAAACATTATTACAAGCTTACCGCTTTGAATCGAGCTAAGGCAAACAGATAGTTTAAAGCTACGGACTGCAGCTTTAAGATAAAAATATTATCTTTAAAAGATCCTGTTACTTGCCTGTAAAGAATTTTTTAAATACATCAGTCTTTTTAAAGTCTGGATACACATAAGAGATACAACTAATATCCCGTATGCGGTCACCAAGGCCAGCTGAGTCCAGATCCTTTTTGGTGAAAGGTTGGATATTCTGGATTTTCCTGCCTCCATCTGAGCAGAAACAACAGTGACATACATGTTATTACTTTTAAATCTATTTTTAACTGTAACATCCCCTTTTGCTGTTCAACCTTTAGACAATCTGCTTTTTCTTTAAAGCCACTACACAGAATACAATAACAGATGACATAAAGAGCTGCAGTTCTAAATCACAACTGAAATCTTTTCTGAAGACCACCCAAATCTGTACCCACGGACACTGATGTGGTCCTGACAAAATGTGTATAGGGGGTGGGGGGTGCATGTTTGGGGGTTATTTGCAAGTTTTTTCGTATTGTACCCTGCAGACGTAAATTAGCCTATGGCCAACTCTGGTACAATGCATCAAAAGGGTAACATTTACGTTTGAAATTGTACATGGTCCTTAATTAAAATAAGACTTACTCTCACTGGGACCCACATAGGCAATGGTGATGCCGCCCATTTCTGAGTCACTAAAGCGCAAAAGAAAGGTGCCGTTGGGCTTGTTTTGGAGGAGGACATGGAGATGATGTTTTCCAATGAAGCCATAAATCAATCTGCAGGGGCAATGAGAAATAGATTTCTATAGTATTTCTCCTTAGTGATTTAGACTTCTCATTAACATCTTAGGAAGAGTAACTGTACCCATCAGTCCAATAGTCTCTCAGGCATTTCTTCGTAAGATCAATCACCCCTTCAAACCACTGCCAGAAGGTAAAGTTTCGACCAGGCAGAACTTCCTGTGTTAAAACAGTCACAGAAATAATTATTCACACCAATTCGCCAGTTAAACCTTCTGTGAATGTTATCTACAATAAACATTCATTTAAATTAGGTGCTAGGGTCTCTAGACTTTATTATGTTTAGGGGTCTTGAAACAGCATGGGAACATTATATAAATTTATCACACAACTTATCCAAGATGGTTTCACTATGTAAATTCTGTCAGTGAGTTAATTAATGCATAACTTTGAAAAATAATCAACTAGTTAGCTGTTAAAAAACACATGCTTATAATATTGTACATCAATGCAAAATGCACGTTAGTGGCACCTTGTTGAATTGAGCCCAGGACACAGGTATATCTCCGAAATCTTGAGCAATGTCTGGCTGGTCAAAGATCTTCTGTGCAAGAAAATGAAGGTTGTATCTGTCCAAGGCCCGGTGCGTCTGCACCTCAGACATGAACTTATTGCTAAGAGCTTCACACATCTGCTTCCAGGGCACACGCTCCGGAATGACGAACGGTATTCTGTTCTGAATTCAGCACAACACAAGGCACATGACGACGTCTATTTCAGTTCAGTTCAGTCTTTGATTTGTTAACAAAACATGGCAACAAAAGAGCTGTTGTGTGTTTGTTCTGTGTTACTCACAGGCTCAGAGAAGGCGCAGTCCCATATGATGGTCGCCATAGCATTGATTTCCTGACTACCATGTACAATTACAACCACAGGAAGAGAGATTGTCTGGGAGAAGAATAAGACATTCAGTTATTACTGTTATCACACATTTTATATCAGTCCCTCCTAGATTCCGTCATCACAGAATTTAATGCAAACTATTGGGTTATTATAATTAACTGAAGCATGACCGGTGTCTGAGGCACGTGTAACATCACACCAAGATTCTTTGTCCATGAATTCCCAAGCGGAGTGCCCATGAATATAAAAAGGTTCCTGTTTTACACGTCATCAGCTTTTTTTGTCTTCAGGAGACGTTTTGTTTGTAGCATGTGATAATCAAAGACAAACTATGGATAAACCAAGCAGCATGTGCTTTAAAAAGTGCGTTTCATGACACCTGCGCATACCCTTGTGAGCAGAGCATGTGCTCCTAGCACTTGAGGCATGCATTCACAGTGAAAAAGCTCCTCTCACGCTTTGCCTTCTTCTCGAGAGATGAGGGGCAACCATATGCACTCTGCGTTTCGGGTCCTGCTTTTGCTGAAGCACATCAGAACCGAGGGGATCACAGGTCAAGCTTGAGCGATCTGCTGGATCAGGAAGCTCATTTTATGTTATCTTTCGATCAAGCAGAGAGCATGTTGCTAGTGCCATCTAGCTCTGAGGAAATAGATGTAGCTAAGAGGGTGAAATTGTTGGGCCCTGTCCTTCCGTCAGGCAATTCAATACAGGGAATTGCTGGATGTAGTGGCCCAGGTCACGACCAGGTTGAATCTTGGTCGTGTGAGAAACAGAAGAAAGTGATTCGGGGCAGACTCGATGAGCGATCCCTGATGGGCAATGTTTGTCACACGAGCCTGCTTGTTTCTTCCTGATCTGAGCACTGAGGTGGAGAGATCATAGAAGAGGAGGCCATATTCAGGCTTTTTCCACATTCAAATTATTTGAATACAGAGGTTTATTACGCTGACCAGCTATATTTTGCAGGCTGAGGCATCTTCGTTAAAGGCTCCAGTCTTGCCATCTAAATCCGCCCTCCAAGAAAACAACCCTGCTGATGATTTGCACACAGCGCTGTCCTCGTCAGGAGAGAGCAGTTCTCATTGCTGCTGAATTGGTGCATTTCATCTGTAAAATGGTTTGTATACATTGTCTTTCGTTTATAAAGTCTTTACTGTGCAGTAAATAATTTTATTTAATGCAACGCAACATACAGGGATGAGCATGCTCCCATTAGACATAGCGTCAACACCAAGACGCTGAGTCTTGTTCCCCTTCAAAAACTGTAAGTCGTGAAAAAAAATATGATACATATGTTTTGCCAGATGAGAACTTCATCTATCATCTTTTTACTCTTTTAATTCCTTTTATAACCGTTTTAATTTTCCTTGCTTTTATTTTTGTGATTATTTTAATTCCTTTTATAACTGTTTTCATTTTCCTTGCTTTTATTTTGTGATTACTTTAATTCCTTTCTGTGTAAAGCACTTTGAATGAGCATAGTGTATGAAATGTGCTATATAAATAAACTTGCCTCGCCTATGTTGGAGTTACCATTGCCTTGTGCATGGGGGACAAGAGCCACAATTTCAGTGATTATGCACAAAAATATTTGGTAACACTTTACAACAAGGTTTCATAAGTTAAAACTTGTTAACTACATTAATTAACATGAAGTTATAATGAACTACACGTCTACGGCATTTACTAATTTTGTTAATTTCAAAATTTACTAATATGTTAATAAAATCAAAAGTTGTATTTGTTAACATTACTTAATGCACTGTAAAGTAACGAACAAACAATGACCAGCTGTATTTTTATTAAATAACATTAACAAATACAGTAACAAATGTATTGCTCATGACTAGTTCATGTTAGTTAATATATAAACTCATGTTAAAAAATGAAACCTTATTTAAAACTGGTACGAAATATTTTACAGGTAAATATACTCTTATTGTCACTAACACTAATTGCATAAGTACATCATGGTTATTGGAGGGTTAATCTAATATTAACACACACAAAACCAACACTGCAAAATACACACTATATATACATATTTCATAAATCAGTAAAAGAAGAGGCATATCCACCTGAATGTGATAAGAGCTCTCACAGCCAGTGATGGTTATTTCTGTGTTGAACAACAAAGCAAACTTTTCCTCTGTCACTGATTCAGAGCCTTTCCTGTCAGCTCGTTTGATCCTCTTTATGGACTGAAGAGGAGAAAACTCTTATTAGAGTGATTTTTCTCAAAAACATTAAATTAACATTACAAAATCGATATGAAACCAGATTTGACAAAGCAAAAAACAACACTGTTTGTGACAGAACAGGGCAAATCCACCTATTTTTCACCATCACCCACCATGTTTCTAAAGGTAGCACATGTGCTCTTGCTAGCGGTGTTGTGTTCTAAGATAGCCGTGTAGTTGAGAAGATCACCAACATTTTCACTAAGTGGAGAAAAACAGACAGCAATTGATTATAAAACATTTGCATATTTATGTTAGACCTCTAAAATATTGAATGGCCTCTGTATGGTTAACAGCTCAACTGAAACCCTGAATCTGTTTGCTTATCTTGTTATGCCTTCACTTCCTCTTTAAGTCTGAGAACAGCAACAAAGGCTGTCAAATGTATGTCAGCTTGTATGGGCAGATTTCAACATGTGGCAAAGGCACAAAAAGTAACATTACGACACAATTACACTCAAGTTATAGATCAAAGATGATACTGTGCATGCAGTAACAGCACATGCAACATGTTTCAGCGTCATCATTTCTGCTCAGTATTGTTTCTTTGGTATAGAGATGGGCATTAATACATGAAAATGTATTTCAAATAAAAATACAAAATACCTTAGTTGAAATGGATCAAAATATAATACCAAATATAATACAGATTTTTTTTTTATATTTAAATACAAATACAGTATTTCGTTTTTTTAATATACACAAAATACATGTGAAATAGGCCATTCAGTTTAGCATCACAATTAGGCTGAAATTTTTCTGGACCTATTCTGAATTTTCATGTAACTACTGTAATGTTGTGTAATGTCATGTCGACCTACCTCTACCACCAAATTTTTAAAAAGACTAGGTTTAAAGCATCTGTGTGCCATTTCATCTCTGACTAGGTCACACTGAAGTCTATTACCTGTTGTGAACACTACTTGGAAATGATAGTGCTGGTAATGGTAATGCTACTTCCAAAATGGAAGCCTAACCACTTGTGATTTTCGTCCGAGCCCACACTTTTGTGACGTAATACTCCTTTGCCCTGTCCCAAATGGTACTGGTCTTGTTTATCAAGTCCACAAGATCTTAGCGTGTCCTATTTGTCATTTTAGGTTTCAGTAGGGTACTCGCAAGCGTCCCTCGATGTGCACTTTTCCAAGCATGCACTGAAGCGGGCTCCGCAGCAGACTACCTGACAGTCAAAGCGGCATTACATCACGAAAGTGTGGACCGGAGGAAGAACGCGAGGGCTTAGGGCTCCATTTGGGACAGGGCCTCTTTGACTGTCGGGTAGAAATTTGCTGTGATTTTAAGTTCATTGTAAGTCCACAAGACTGCAACTGCACACTAAGTCTCAGTGCACAAATTCCCAGAGCGAGATCTCTTTTGCATTGCCACTTCTCTTTTATTCTTTCATGTTAACTAAACACAAAGCTGAATGATGTTTTGTTTTAACCTTACAGCCAACAAGTAGAATTGACCATGACATCCTCACTAAATATCATTCCTTATGATTATCAATGCAGAAAATTTGCCCAACCAATGCTATATAGAGTCATACAGCTGCACCTCACATGCATGGAATTTGGGGTTTGGGGCCTGAACTAGTTGATACACAAAATCAGGAGCCTAATAAAGTGGTTGACTGGCACAAAGTACTTTGCATTTCCAAAATACAAAAATACTAAGCTTCAAGCTGCAGTTTGCAGTTTTCCCTTTTTGTTGCCATCTCTGTTCGAAATCTGCAATTCCAGTTTGAGGAGACTGAGACTGTCAGTCACCATGCTGGTGTGGATACTGGCATTCAGAATTACATCTTTTATAATAATAGGGTAATGCTTAAAAATAAGCCTGGATTCTTTAACATCAGTTTATGCATAAGGCATCATGAACTAACAATGAACAATACTTTTACAGCATCAATTCATTCAGGAAAATGTTATTTTAGAAATACACTATTGTACATTGTTATTCATGTGTTTATTCATAAAATAATGCATTCATCTTGAAATGTTAAAAATGCATTAGTATATACTACCGTTCAATAGTTTTGGGTCTATAAGATTTTTTAAATGTTTTTAAAAGAAGTCTCTTATGCTCACCAAGGCTGCATTTATTTGTTCAACAATACAGTAAAACATTAATATTGTGAAATATTGTAAAATATAATTTATTCCTGTGAAGGCAATAAATTTCATAAATCACAAGCTGATTTGCTGCTCAAGAAACATTTTTATTATTAATGTTGAAAACAGCCGTATTCAGCTAGGATGCATTCAATTGATCAGTAAAGACATTATAAATGATCAATTAGATGCATCTTAGCTGAATACGGTAGTGGATATAAAAATTAACATATATTTAAAATATTATAATTTATTTATATTAATAAATACTGTAAAATAATTGCTAATAATCAGTTCAATGTACCTTATTTAACCATAATCAACAGTGTTATCCTTAATATAATTATTGCTATCAATTTATTGGTAATTAAAAAAAAAAAAAAAAAAAAAAACTTTTCTGTATTTATGATTCTTAATAGATACTTGTGTTGTGTGTGTATTTAAATAAGACAACATACTTACTTGGGTATGACACTTTGTTGTCCTAGGTTTCTTGCTTGCGCCTCAGTAATAATCTGCGCTTTTAATACAACGGGTTTTCCAGGGACCATCTTCTCTCCCAGCAGATAGCGTACAGTGGAGGAAAACTTGGATTGGGTTTTGATGACCTGGGGAGGCTGCTTGTCTACTACCAATGAACTGATTTGCCAAGACAAAGAAAGCACAATATCAAAGGCTAGAAAAAAAACCCACTCAAATTTTCACAAGATTGCATACGATAATCATCTGTTGTGACTTGCATGATGAGTAACTACACTGCAATCTCATATTTCTCAGAACTGAAAAAAGCCTGAATACTTCTGTATGAGAGTCTGGAGCAGAAGTGCCAGGCTTTCCTGCAACGTGTGAAACTCTTCAGCCTCTCCGTGGTCAGCCTTCATCAACATGAGCTCCTGCTTCAGATTACTATTCACCCCAAGCAACTGCTCACACCTGCAACAGAAAAGGTAGGAAAGAGAATGTGGAAAACACAGAGACAGAATAAGGCAGATGCCAATAGGTTGCAAGACATCATGCATGACAACAAAACAAGGTGGAGTGAAACAAAATATTATGATCCAGAGTACATTAAATATGGGTGCACTTTCCGCAGGTTCAAACACGTGCAATAATATAATTTTCTATAGGGCACAGCTGATTGGTTCCTGCTGTATCAGTAGAGTAGCCAAAGAGCTTGCGTGTTCAAACTTAAAATGCTCAGTTAGCATTTGCCTTAGCAGTTTTCAGAAACCCTCCACCTTCCCCAGCTCTATCTGTATAGTAGATCTGCTAAGGGCAATTCATCTATGCTATATAATACAGCAGCAGCCTGTCTTTTTCACAACAGCAAGTCATGTATGCATTGGCAGTGGCAAGTCATGTCCTTGGTCTGCAGCAACAGTAGCAAAGCAGATCTATTCCATCAAGACCAAATATATAAACATTGTCATATCCATTACCATACCAAAGCCTCAGTAGTTAGTGCCACAATGAAAACAAGGTGTTTTGTGTGAAATCTTGTTCACGGACTGCTGATTTTCAAGAGGCACAGAAAAACCAAACACTAAAACCATGAAGACAAACCTGTTGAGGTTTTCAAATAACAGCAACAAGATTTGATCACAGCATTTATAAAAAAATAAATAAAAAACAATCACACTTCTTTTGCATTTTATATTACAATATATTCCAGTTGATAATCAGTTGATGTCATATTAAAACGTAAAACATATTGTTGGACCTAAGCAGCTCATGGTGATAAATAAATGAAATTAAAATGTTAACAATTTGGTTGTAAGGGCATTTCTGTTTACTTCTGTATGATAAACATTTGTGGTACTGTGTTGGGTCACCACTTGACATCTAATCTGAATCCTGAAGTGAAACTAGATCTCCGAAGAGAACTATTTTCTCCACATTTAAAAAATGTTTAATAATACATAAAAAATATATAAAATACGTGAAAAGTGGTTCAATTGGAGATAAAGTTCAAGAAGAGACATCCAGAAGTAATGACAGAAATACTGTGACCTTGAAGGAAAAATGCATGGCATAAAGCCCACTTTTCACGATAGCAAAAAAAGGGCAAAGTAAACAAACTAAAAACTGAAAAGGAAAACCAGTTTGGTGGTGAAAGGTTTCACCAAACAAACCTCTTACGTGGAAAGATTCAGCTGATAAGATTCATACAGTTACACGAATATAACAAAAAGGTCCAGTGGTCCTCACCATGTCTGCAGAGAGCCAAGGTTGTCATCGAAGTGCACGCCAATGGTTGCTCGGTGCTGTTCCCACCTCCAGGACTTAATTCTGAGAATAAGACAGGACTGGCACTGCTCCAGGGCGTACACGGCCTCCTGAAGAAGCTGCACACGCTTCTGTAAACTCGCACAGATATACAAATCGTGAAAACAGCTCCATTTTAACTGCTTTTGTCATTACCCTGATGTATGTTTAAGCATGCATTTGAGCTTTTACCTTTGCACTAACTGAAAAGTTGTACTCAAGCTGCTTTATGCGATTCTGTCTAATGACTTGATCCGAATGCTGTTGATCCAAATCATTTTGAACTGTAGGGAAACAAAAAAAAATGTATTAGATATAGCGAGACACCTGTTTGCCTGTGTGCATGTAAGCCCTGATAACGATAACCCAGTCCAGGGCCAGGGTTACGAACAGTACATTTTATGTTGACAAATGTATGTAAATGAGTAATCTCTGGTTATCACCTAATTACGGAGTACAGTTTAAAACGAGTGACGTTTGCTTACTTCCTGTATATCATAAAATTTTAACTAGTGACTCGAAAGAATTTAGTATGAAGCATTGATTGCTAAAAGGTTAAAGTACAGGTGATTCTGAACATTTGGAGGGGAGGTGCTGCAAGAGATGTTAACAAGTTGTAGGGCTTTATCAGAGGCAGAGCCACCGAATTAGACACACCGACTGTTTTTCCAACCCTGCCAATTTGGCATAACCATGGTATTTTTTCTGTCATACAAAGCATCAAAAACTTTGAAACTCTCAGCTCACTCCAGAGATGAAACCTTTACAGATGTTACAGACATTTTGGTACGATCGCTTTTTGCTTCCATTTCCCTTTTAGGATGTTTAGCTGGGCTGTGCAAGCATTTCTCACTCTCCAAACTCATAACAACTGCTCCAAGCTCATTTATCACGCTTCTGGTTTCCCATACACAGACTGCCCGCAAAATGGTTGACTCGTAGGAAGTGCACCTTTTAATTGGCCAATCAAAATTATTCTGAAAGGGATTATATTTGTATGATCGTTTTCTGCATTCAATTTGATAAACAGTTGCTTACAGTGCCTATTAATTAATTAATACGTTTTAAAAGTAATAAACAGGATTTAAATATAATAAATAACTGAGTACTCATTATTAAATTCAATTGCAAGATAATTAATCAATGATTTAGGTTTGTCTTTTAGAGAAGCAAATGATTACATTTTATAAGTTAAAAAGAGTTGTTTAATGGATTTTAAATATTTGCACATACTGAAGGCTATCACTGAAGAGACTTTCACAGATGTCCACATTTACTCTAACTCATAAGTGTTTGAGCCTACACTTCATGATGTATTTTGCATTGCTAGGTCATCAAAAAAAGTCACCCACACTAACATGTTGAGATTTGTTGGAGCCTTCATAATGGAAATGACTATTTACGCATCTGCTGGTCTAGGGTTATGCCTTATTGCATTTCTCCCCCTTGTGTTGCTGCATAACTTTCTGTTAACCATTTCACAACAGCCATGCAGACAAAACCGTCACATGTGCCAATTGTGCAATATCACAGGGCCTTGTGCTTGGCCTGCAATAATACAGTTTTTTATACAAATTATTTTTTTTTTATGGTTGATTTTGACACAACATGATTCTAAAATTAAATTCCTGTCTCAATTCCACTATGTATAGTCAAGGTAAAAACTAAATCATTTAAATTTTCAATTTCAGAAGTCACTGTGAGGATCGCGGCGAAAAAATTTCAGCACTTCTAGAGATTTTGAGGCTGAGCAGTTTGTTCAAAGCCCAACGCGCTCTCTTTGAGGCTCCGCGGGAGGCATTATAGAAGAGTGAGGGGCCCGGGTTACGTCTCACTGTGATCCTCAGGTCACCAAGGCTATTAACCGAAGTAGGCTTTTTCTGCTGGGCAGAAGCGGCGCTACATCAGGGAATAAGCGAAGGGGCTCCACCTCTTTCAAGGTAACGGAGTCTTGACCGTAACGCCACAATGATCATGTTCCCGCAATAAGAACATGAGTCATCCATGAGCGCCATTTCACTGTGCCTATAGCCCAAACACGTGATACAGCGATAATGCCCGTCAGCCGGAGTCAAACATTGGCCGCATCCAGAAACACAAGATCTGAATGAGAGATTGCGACCCTCGCTGTCAGTGTTGTTACACCAACACCACGAACCAGAGATTCCTCTAGGCCAGGGGTAGACAAGTTCGGTCATAGAGAGCCGCTGTCAAGCAGAATTTAGTTCCAACCCTAATCAAACACACATGAAAAAGCCAATCAATGAGTTCAGGATTATTTTTTCTGTGTTAGAGCCAAACTCTGCAGGACAGCGGCTCTCTGGGACCGAACTTGCCTACCCCTGCTCTAGGCAGAAACTCAGTAGATCTTTGCAGAAGACAGGAACAGCATATACCATCTGGCTCCAAAGCGAACGACAAGGATGTGAACGCACCTGCTGCTTGTTATTTGCTTGCGCCATGATGCACAGCAGCTGGTGCAATTATCGCATACCATATGCATTGGCTCATTTTATTTCACTCAAAGTGGATAGGCTCTCGCAAGCGATCCCCATTCGTCAGAATCACTTCTGACTCACGTTGTAGTGATCTGTAGGGGAACTAATTTTACTGTCCAAAAGGATCAAGCTGACAAAATATTGCATTTTACAATATTAAATCTGGCAGGAGTACCTTCCTAAAGCCATCATATTAGACATAGTTCAATACAGATTTGGATCTTCTACCTTGCATGGGCTCTATTTCCTGCTTTTCCCAATTCAAATCCTCTTGTAGCTGATAAAGCGTTTGTCGGCAGTTCTGAATTTCCAAAACTTTGAGCACCAGATTGTCCACATCAGCCTTATGATCCTCGCTTACAGATTGTGGGGTGCCATTGGCAGCTGGAGCACCCCCAGTCATGGGCTGAAAGGGTGGGAAGCCAATACCCTTTAGACAAACACACAGACAAATAAAGCTATAACACAATGGACATTTACATTACATATTACACATAAATGTTCAGATACTTCAGAATTAAAGTTTTCTTGGGCTTACTACCTGTCTTAACATGAGTCTTTCTTTCCTTAGCATATCTCGAACCATCCTCACAAGTTGCATGGGTTGTGCCTGGTACACGCTCTGAGGAATAATTAATGAGGTTACATAGTAAATAGTCAGAAATACAAACAGTGTGCTCAATATCACAAATCAGCATGGCAGGCTGCCAATAATAAAATGTCTTTCTGTATTGTGATCCATAAGTGTTCACAATGTAAAAGAAATTAAAATCAACATGATTCATCATATTATATAGCATATAATGGATTTCTAAAAAAAAAACTATTTTTTGCATTGCAGTGCAATAACTCCTTGCTTTGACATAATTAAGACAACTGTCCTGGACAATCCACATGGTGATGTAGATCATATAAAGCAGGAGTTTTCACTTTTTCATGCCATGGGCCCTCAAATATGAGTACTCTCCTGCTAAACTATAATGGCAGCGATATATTTCCGTGAATAAGGACCCATTTACACTGTGTGAAACACAACTATCTAAGTGATTGTGTAAGTGTGCTGTCAAAGACATTTTGTTATTTGTAAAATGAAATAATTACCTTTTAAATTGTTACTTTATTGAGGCCAAAGCAAATAGAAAATGTTGATTTTGTACTTTGTATAAATGTTGTATTTTTTCTACTCATTATTACAATGAGAAATGTTAAATGTACAAAACTAAAGGGAAACAATTCAATTTAAAATTACATGTAAAAACATTTTTTTCCTCACATTTTCCATGGACCCCAGGGCACCAATTTGAAAACTCCTGTTTTAAGATCATTATTTTAGTGTTATTTGAGTTATATGATGCAGCATCTTCAAGCCAGCAATAATTATGAGTGTTAGGATTGTTGTGCACACCAATTTCTTGCTGCAATGTTGTAGTTTGACCTTCTCCACCACATTAGGGTTTTTTTGAGCCACCTCCTGCAGCAAACACACCATCTGATCCAACAGTATTCGGGCCCGGGGCTCCTGCTCCATGTTGTCTAGATCAAATTCCTCCCTAAATCAAGCACAGAAATGACATTTTTAAGTCATCTTTGGTAACTCTGACAAGGAGCAAAGCCTCTCTAGTCTAGCTTGTTGTTCTCCGTCCAACCTCCTTTCCTTTTGTGAGTCACTATGACAAAACATGATTTTCAGCCTTAGCATTATCTCTTTCACATGATGGAAATTCCTAAGAAGTTAAATTACACTAAATTGTATGTTTTGGTTTGTAAAAAGCATTACAGTCACTCATACTGTTTCAATTCCACTTATTTCACTTCGTCACCAGTAAAGGTGCACTCTATTTGAACTTTATGAAAAGCTTTATCGTTAAGGAAATTAACTTTTGATGTTTGAATGTGTATACATGTAAATATGTACACTCAGATGTGATAAATACAGTTATATCAGAAGAAAATAAAAGCTTTTTATGTAACATGAAGTGGGTCACCTCATGGAGGCTGCCATATTGGGATCACATGACCAGCCAAATCGCTTCACCAACTTCACTTCACTTTTAATCAAACACTTTCTTGTGTTGATTTCAAGCTACTAGTGTCAGTTCAACACAACATTAATGAAAAAAATAAATACTGCGTCAAGCTTAATACAACATAAAAATAAAAGCATGCTTTTAATATGCAACAGTGATGTCATACCATATCTGATCCTCTATCCAGCTGGCCAGATAATGTCTGACATCCAGAGGGAGTGGTTCTGTGTAGAGTTCATTCAGCGTCTCAGTTGGTATGTACTGTAATTGTGGGAAAATTTGCGCCCACAGCGCCATAGTGTGCAAACACTGCAACAGTAGAAATCACGACATTACCACGCATTGAAAACTGCATGTTCAATTCCTTGGGAAGGAATCATTCACTAAAAATGAAATCTATGAAGATTACCAAATCTCATGATGTTCTAAAACATAGCTGTTTCCCATTCAAAATCAGTTCATATGATCATATCAGTCAACCTCCAAAAAGCATCTCTATATTCAAAGTTTTCTAAAATAATCTGATCACTGAATTGGTTCAGTTCAATTTGTGAAGAAATAGTTGTACTTTAGAATGCTTGAAATAAAACTACAAACAGTTAAGGTGGTCCTTTTTGGAGCTTGACAGACATGGTCTCTAAAGACTGTCAGTGCATATAATCTATTGAAAATATATTGAGAAAAAATATATGAGTTTCATGGAAATAATTACAGAATTTGGGATGAACTACGCAGAGATAATTGCAAATCTGAATTCTTCTATGCAAAACAAATGTCATTTTTAGAAATTCAGAAATAGCATCTGATGACAGGATAAAGCTCAACATTTTGTAGCATGCTGTATTTCAGGTTATTTTCTAGTTTATTTTAGTGTAAAGAGCACAGACAGATGTGATGGCGAAAGAGCAGAGTGTGTAATTACTACTCTGTGTGACTTTTGTTTGAGCAAGGGAGAAAGACAGTATGTCTGTCTTATCTCTCCCCAACATAAGGGGACAGAAGACACTGTATACCACAGCACGCTTAACAAAACAACAGCCCGGCAACCCAACCATCACTAATGTAACAAGTTTGCTTGCATAGTTGGTCATTTTAGCACATTCATTTGCTTTGCTGCACCGTAAGAGAAGATAATAACATACTTTATTGTGGTGTATAGGCTACACCAAATTTAATGTGATAATGCCTCTGACCTTAGTCATTCTTGACCAAAACATTTCTTTAAAAATTAGTTTTTTGTAATGGAACTCAATTATTTGTAAATACGATGAACACGTATATTTTTAAACGTTTAGATATGACAGTTAAAAATGAAATGCAAATTGTCAGGATCTAAAAGTGGAAACCCTTCTTCTACGAAACACAAACCCAGTATATGAGGTAAATGTGTTAACTGTAATAAATAATTGTGTTGCATTCCATCAAACATTAGTAAATCTCATTTATAATAATATTCTGTGAACATCAAAAAGATGCTATATGTCAATATTGTGCGTTTCAGTGGCCGTAGAAAAAGTGTATACTTTACATACAAATGTCAAAGAACAGATTCATTCATTTTGACGGGATACATTGACGGTTTTTAGTTCTACAAACCTACAAGCACACGTGGTGTGTTAAATTCAAAAGCACTGAAACCAAATGTGCCCAAAGGCATGTACAGTAAGCATGCTAGATCATGTCCATAACAACTGTGTCACTTCTCATTTCTTTCTGAAAAAGATGTTGATTGGTCTTGAACATGACCACAGTATCAGAAATTTTTACACTAAAACCTTAAAAAAAAAAAAAAAAACTAGGACCAGGCTTAAGCTGCATGTATATGTTATAAGAAAAGTCATACAACTGAACAGCTAATCAGCATTTGTTATGAAATAACTTGAACCCCCTTAAAACTTGAAGGGGCAGTTCACACAAAAACGGAAAACACTGAAATTAATTGACTTTTGTTGCCTGTACAAAAATTATATTTTGTGGACTATCCCTTTACACCACAAATGCAAAACACAAGGTCACGAGATAAGGATCAGTAGTAACCAATATGTCTATCTAAAAAGCCTTTTCTTTTTTTTTCTTTTTTTACTTTATGATTTTTTTTTCCTATTAAATATTGTTTTAACCAACCTATTAGTTTTCAGAAAATTGTATATAAATATTTTCCTGGGATTTCTTCAATATAGGTTAATCCCTTGATGACGTTAAAGCTCATGACTCATCTTTATTTGGGAATCCCTCAGTTCCAATTAATAGATCTGCTTTTCCTCAATTTTTTTTTGCTCTAAAGGTTGACTAATACAAATATTTGAAAAGGGATCGGTGCAGTACAGGTGTACAGTAGGAGGAAAAAGACCACACCTATGTGCAGACATAAAATTCAAGTTCATTCTTAAATGTTCACATTCATGTATCAATATGAGACAACAGATTCCAATTGTGTGAAAACCAGAACATGCAGGAAAAACTGATCTGGTAAAAACATTGTCTATTTATGTAGCAGATAGAGCGAAAATAAATGAATAATAAATGGAGCAATTCCAAGAGGGTCCTCACACCACCTAAATAATATAAGAAAGATCTTGAGGAAATAAGAAATGGCATATTCATGAAAGCATGCAAGGCTTGTCATTGGGTAGCCATATAAATCAGGCCTATAGGTTATCATTTGAAGAACACAAAACGGTTCTTTCTCTAACATAAAAAAAAGGATTACATAGTAATGTGTTTTGTTCTTTATGTTTATTAATCTTTTTCAGCACTGTTATATGTATTACTGGCTGCAAAGCAAAGTCATATTTTAAAAAAAATCTTATTTAATAATACAGTTTTTTTTATTCGCTTTGGTACTATTTTCACAAGTAAGGTGTACATTTTCAAAACTCTTAGTGCTAATATCACAACAGATCATCAAAAGTGCACTTTTTTCAAACATTTAATCATGTTTTCAACTGTGTTAGTACAATTCACACAATCACAAAGTATCCTTTTCACAACACAAAATAAGTGTTTCATCTACATTATTGTTTCATTCACAGTAACTGCCTTTCATAAAGCTCTTACTATCAAACTTTGATTTGCATCTCTTTTTGTTCAGTTTAATACTTTTGTCTATTATTTAATCCAACAGATCTTAATGGTTAATCAATTAATCATTTGGTAAACCTATAGATTTTTATTTCAGCAATATACAGTATATGGATTTTGAGAACTACAGAAATAAAATGTGTGTTTGTATGAAAATTTACAGTAAATTACATGTAACCACACATGATGAATACTCATTATAGCTAATTGATTTCACATAGTGGTGACCACAATTGGCCACTATATACTGTAAATGATTGTAGAGGATGTCTTCATTGATCCTTCACTTGATTACATGATGGATATTTGGAAATTATAGATTATGTAAATGTTGGGTACTGTAAGTGTATTGCCTAATGTTACAGTAAAACTGTGTAATCTGTCTTTCATAGTACTGTAGCATATTCATTTCAAAACTTCTAAGGCCGATTTGAAACATGTATCTTGCATTGTTTGCTGTTGGATGAACTGATTGTTAAAAGTACTAAAATGAAAGAAGATCATATTGTTGTGTTTCAGTGATTAAACCAAATGTTCTCATTACATATTACAATAATCTTGTGTTTGAAATAATGATTATGTGGACTGAAAACATGTGCAACTGACTGAAACCATTACATCAGGTTTTGAAAGAATGACTAGCTGCGTTATAAGTGTGATCAGTTTGGGTTTTTGTACTAAGAGTTTTGAAAATGTACACCTTACTTGTGAAAATAGTACCAAAGCGAATAAAAAAAACTGTAAATCAGTGCCCTATTTTATGTATTTGCAGAGAAGAAAAATATATTATTCCAAAGTCTTTCCTGTTTCATTAAGGTATCAACATGGTCTCAGATGTTTATATAAACAGAAATAAAAATTAAAGCTGCAATCCATAGCTTTTTTGGTTTAAAAATTATCCAAAATAATTTTTGGACAAAATACATAACCAGCCAGTGTTCAAAACTATCTGCTTGCCTTAGCTCGATTCAAAGCAGTAAGCTTGTAATAATTTTTTTAATTCCAGTGGTACTGCTATGCCACTGGTATGATTGTGATAATTATCAACAAAGTCGATAATTGCGCGAATAACTGCAATTAAAGATTTCGATCAGAGATGGTAACAAAGATGAAAAACTGCGGACTTTAGCTTTAAAAAGGGACAATCTAAGCATCTAAAATGAATGTGAATGAGATAGCTCGGAAAACTGGGTTTTGGAGAAATCTGATGAGGTGGGTTTTAGTGCATATTGAATTGTCTCTGTTTGATTGTACACTTCAGTTTCTGACACTGTTGAATATTTCTGAAAATCCACAGGAAACATGTGTGAGAATACTGGTGTGTTTTTCTTAAAGGTAAAATCTGAGAAGCAAGAGTTTTACTCTTTGTTCAATTTATTTGACTAAAAGAAAAAAAAAATGTAATATTAAAGAGTTATATGAAGTTAATTTGCTGTAATGGAATAGAAAGCAATCTCTCAACCTCAAATTCTCACAGCAAACCAGCCAAAGCAGTTGGGATCTGACACACGGAGCACTCATTCACTTTACCCATTATTATCTCTTTTCATCGAATGGATGACTGCATTCATAAAGGTCATAAACAAATGACAGAAAAGAAAAAAAACTCACAACATCTTAACACAGTATTTTAAAGCATTTAAAGCAATTACTCATTTTAAAGCATTGGACACTGATTCAAACATTGTTGATGCTGTGATTGCTGCGAACTAATGGCTTCACAGAACATTTAAAAAGTAGCTATTATTTCCTCAGACTATAGTAGGGAAAGACATTTAACTTTTTTGTTTTGCTCAGAAGTGTGTAATGTCAGGAGTTTCCTAATTAAGATAGATAGATAGATAGATAGATAGATAGATAGATAGATAGATAGATAGATAGATAGATAGATAGATAGATAGATAGATAACCATTTTATCTACTTTACACATAAACAAACACGTCACTAACCCTTTTAATGCACGTAAAAAGGCCACAGACAGCAAAGCCACCCATTAGTATTCATATAATATTTATGAAAAATAACAGCATGAGGGTGTTCCATCCCTAAGACTGAGAATGGCACATGCAATGTTACAATAACAGTGAGCAAGGTTAGTAAAGGACAGACCACTCTTTAGTGCACAAAAGAACATAAAACACCAATGCCACATACATATGGGGAACAGAAAGTAGGGCGTGAATTTATGAAGGTGCTCGTGCTACACTAAACTTTTTCCACTACACCATGTTAGCCTATAACGTGACATTCGCAGTCTACTACGTTTTAGCCATTTAAGTAGGCCTTCCTCCCTCCCTTGCTGTTTTCAGTACCGTATGATACAGGAAACTTGTTGTTTAATATAATACTCATTAAAACAATATCTCTCTTATTTTTTTCATGCAGTAACGTTAGCCTATATCATGACCATAACGTTAGCCTAATTTTTTGGCGTCGTTAAACGAGTCTATAACGGCATAGCTAAACCAACTTCACAGATATACTGAGATTAAATTATTATAAAGTGTGGTTTTTAATCGCAAAATAACTCTTTGGTGGATTCTTAATGTTTATGGTTGCTCGCTTCGCTCGAATTTCAGTGTAACGTCAGGCAACAGTAAAGGAAAGTAGGCTATTACAAAACTCATGTTCACAACAAGATTAACTGATAATTCAGGTCGCGATAAACTTACTGTACGTTGTGTATAGCTAAAATATGCAATGATGTGAAAACATAACATACCTGATTTCGACGCCAGCTGTTTTAACACACGTAAGAGATATAAGTCTGCGCCTTCCGTGTGCGTTTGTTGTTTTTTCTCTCTTCTATCCACCTACTTTCACTTTACTGAAGTTGCTGCCTATTGGCCATTCTGATGCAGCTCTTCTACCTGGTAAATGAGAATCTTTATCCGGTTGGACATAATTTAAAATAATTCTATCTATATAATTCTAATAATAAATCTAATCTGTTTTATTTACATATACAGAAAATAGGCTATGTTTTTAATTGTTTTTAAATCCAGTTTGCGAAAATTCTGCCTCTTTTAATATGTTCAAATTTTTATCTTCATATTTTAAGGGATACTTTTGTGAGTATTTTTAATGTCTTCATACTTATCTAACTACTGAACACCTTCATATTTTTCTACGTATCTTCATGTTTTATTTTTACTCCCTATTTTAATAATTTTCTGAATGTTCATTAATTTTTAGATTAACGTTATTTTATTTTGTATTATTGAAATTATTTTATTAACATTAATAGCAACTTATTTTATAGGCCTATTTTATAGGCTATTTACCGACGAAATTATATATATATATATATATATATATATATATATATATATATATATATATACTCATTATAATTGGCCTAAAAAAATAGATTTAGACTTTTTTTGTTATAGGCTATTTAATGAAGTACAATAAATTGCGCTAAAAATCTGTGCTCAACTAAAGAAGGAAAAAATTCAACTGCATTACCGCCACCAATGACCACATAAGCATAGAAATATATGATGTAACATGTTGCCTTGCTCTCTCGCTGTCTCTCTAGTCTAGTAAAGCTATATATGATTGTGTCTCAAAACCTGGAGAGCAAGCTAGAGAAACTCACTCCTCTATATTTCAGGACAAAACGTTACTTGTAGGCGGGGAAACAACGCCTTCTTTGAAACGCTTGATTTCCAGTAAGGAGTTTCGAAAGGGTTTCCGCTTCTCAAAGAGGCTCATTATTTATTTATTTTCTAATTAGAAAAATGTCTAATTATAATTTATTCTTTCCCGTCCTCAGGAAAGACATCTACAAAGGATATTTTAATGCACTAAATTTTTAATTTAAATGCACTATATTTTAATGCACTAAAAATAAAAGCTGGCAGTGCTGCAACGTTTCACTAAAGAATTAAGCAAAGAAAGCGATTTTGAGAAAAATATACCAATTTAATGTTTACGGTATTAAAATAAGCAAATCCATCAATACATTTAGTATAATTTATAGCAGGATACCTTATTCTGAATAATTCATGAATTTTGGATCTCGATAGGTGAAATGTTGCCATGCCCAATCCTTATAAGCGACGTGTTTTTTTTCTTTTGCTTGTAGCTATACATAGTTTTGTTTTGTTTGTTTTTTTAAAGAAAAGTTTCTCCCTTCACACTAGGCGTAGAAACCAATAAAATCGCTTATTCATGCGTAATTTTTGTGAGAAAAGTCGCTTATTTGGGGGATGTTTTATCCGTTTAGTTTGCTTGTTTTGTAGCAGATCTGGCAACACATATCATCGTTTACATCAGGAAACGTTAAACTCAGGAAACTGCCTCGTCATTACTACGACTAATCGTTTCAATTCTCACACCCACACCCATTATCCTTTGCTCGCCAATATTTTTGAGAAATATATGACTAAATTATAGATCAAGGCGTATAGCATAAAACAAAACATAAGTTACACACACCCAAAAAAGCATTATTTTGTGCTACCACTAGAGGGCAGTAGGTTATAGCCAATTTGAAAAGCGACCTGATCTGTGTTGGTCAATTGAAGTTGTTATGTAATAAAATTGAATGGTACAACTGAAAATTATAGGCTACTAAATGTAAAATAATACTAAATGTACAGTTTAAAACATTGTATTAAATCCAAACACATATCATATGCAGCATGGCCATGCAGCGAAGTTTGCTTCAACCATCAGACATTCCTCATATCAAAGTCCATTTCCTGACCAGTCATGATACATTTGACCTGTCTGAGGCTGTTGGGATAGTCAGCAGAATGCTGTATGAGCTTCAGGGGTTGTTTTCATTTCCAGCTTTAACTTAAACAAAGTCAGAGTTGACTTGATCAATCTCCTGCTGATAGAGTTTGACAACCCCAAAATGGAAATTCTGAAGTAACAAATGTTATCAATAAAAATTCCATAATAGTTGTGCAGAGTGTTTAATTTCTATCACAACAAACCATTTGCAGCTGTTTTGAAGAGTAACAACTGGAAAAAATGCGAAGGAAAAGATACTTTTCTAAGATGCTATGTCGCTATCATGCTATCATATTAGAAATTGATCCCGGTTGATTTTTTTTTTTTTTTTTTTTTTTTTTTGTGAGGCAATTTAAACATTGTCAATTTAAAATTGTAAATTGACTCTCCTTTTTTAAAATAGCGTAATTATGTAAAAAAAAAGAAAAGAAATAAGGAAGTCAAAAATCAACAAATTGTCAGTGGATTGACCTATTGTTTATTTGCTCTCTATTTGTTTCTCCTCTCCTTCACAGCTTGTCATTATTTCGGGGTCCTCTTAGGTAAAGACCCATCACTGAGCAGCACTGATCGCAGCACATCTGGAATCAATACAGCCAAACTGGGTAACTAGAGGGTTTGGGGGGGGGGGGGGGGGGGGGGTTAGGGCTAAGGGTTGGGCTAGTTACGGTTTTGGCCCTGGGGGTCCATGTGTCCCTGACTCCTAAATAGACTTGATTGCTAGCAGCTGGCAGCCTTAACTCACCCTGTGTCAGGGATCTCCTCTGATGTCAACCTTGTCTGTATCAAGGCTAGACAGGACAAAGGAGAGCAAGACATGAGCAGTCATGAACAGAAGTATAGGCAGGGTCTATGGGAAGTCTTGCTGCTCTGCATCTGAACCCTCTGGTTTCCATCATGATCTTTTCTGCACCTTTATGAGAAAACATGAAGGAAAATCGCCATTTAAAATACAACAAAATAGAACAAATCTGAACCAGATATAATGTATAGTTGTGGTAATAATTATTGGCATCCCTGGTAAATATGATCAAAGATGGCTGTAAAAAATAAATCTGCTTTGTTTATCCTTTTGATCTTCCATTAAATAAATTCATAAAAATCAAACCTTTCATTGAAGTAAAAGAATTTAAGTGGGGGGTAAATGACATTATGAAATAAATGCTTTCATTAAATACTTTTTTTTTGCATCTGAACAAGAAAAGACCTCCAGCAACAAAAAAAGCCATACACAACATTAAAGATCTAGTGGTATATTTCACTATTGGCATGGCATACTTTTTATCCCTGTTTGCAAAAAGATTAGGATAAGAAAAGAGTTCTTTATAATACTTTATAATACTTATACTTTATAATATAGTCTACTTTAGCTTTAGTTATACAGCTTTCATCCTTCAGATGCTTGATGCTCACATCTGTTCAACTAGAATGCAGAATACATTTAGTCATGACTATTATTTTGTTATTTTTTAAGACAGAGGAACTGTGGGATTTTACATTTTACATTACATTGAGGTATTCATATTAACTCTTTCCCTGCCATTGACCGGCTTTCTGTGTTTCTACTGTTATACAGTGGCCGCTATTACACATCTTATGAAAGAGTAGAGAATCTCAGGATCAAGACAGAGATGGTAATCACTGCAAAACACGAAATCCAGGGGGAGTTGGATCCAGATCCTTATACCCACCTACCCACATATCATCAACATTCTCAGATATTCCTACAACAAAACCCTACCCAGCACCCAGCTCCTGTTTTTTTGAAAATGCTGGTGGGGAATAAGTTAAATATTTGTAAAATGTTTATAACACATGTGAAAGTGTTTTACAACTTTATGGTGTACATATAAATGTGTCCATTGGCTCTTTACATACTGATCTTAACAGTCATTTTTCTGTCATTTGTCACTCTGTAAATTTAGATTCTGCTCTATTTCTGGAGTCAGAGAGGTCGAGTTCAAGCTGACCAGGTCACATCACTCAGAGTACACCAGCAGGGATGGTTGCTATGGTGAGGGTTATGGTGGAAGAGATATAGGGAATGATGGGGATTTTTTGCTTGCTTTTTTGCTTTGCTTGAAAAGTCAATTTTCTGATACACTCAACAGGAAACAAAACATTTAAAAAAAAATTGGTGCTTTTAACATTGTGTAAATAAATTGCAAACTGTTCCTGTTTCTAACTGCCCTTGATTATGGCCCTTTAATTATTAGAGCTCATAAAACTGATATTAACCAGCTATCTATAGCCTATCAGTTGAGCTTTTTTTATACAGGGTATATATATTTTTAACACCCTTTTCAGATTTTTTCAGTGCATGATAATTGACCTTCAAATATTACTAACCCTTAGTGCTTCAGCAAGGTGAGTGTGTTATTGAGTGGATGAATTAAAGGATATTATTTTATTCTACTGGCAACTGAAGAACAATTATCCTTTAGATAGAGACTGGAGGGCAAGGACTGTGTGTGTAACCATCCATTATTCATCTTAATCAGAGACTTAAACATCAGCATCCATCAGCACTTAAAATTAAATTTGAGATTAATCTCCACAAAGGGGGTGGGGGGTGGTGGGGGTTTGATGTATACCCTATAGTTTAAGACATCAGTTGCAAATACACACAGAACAATATAGTCCTCTTACCATCAGTGCTTGAGCCCCAATTAAGCCAAATCCCATCTGGACTTTTTTTGTGGACTGTATTGAACCCTTGACCACAGATGGAACATCTTTATTTGACACTGGAAGCAATAAAATGTTAAACACTGAATTAAATTAAGCAACATAATAATTAACTTTGGAAAAGATTCAAAGTTTTTATTTGGTTTATAGCCATGGCCCTTAATATCCCACAAATCTTAGTTCCACTGACCTTATATTTTGAAATCATGTGCATGTGAGAAGGCAATTCACCCTTACAATCTGACACTTCTTGACATGTACAGGAAGTTGAGCCATGAGAGAATTTTGACATATTCTCTTTAATATTGTGTAATACTTTTTTCTTAAAATACAGTCTTTTTGAGGTAGACCATTACATTTCAAGAACATGTTTAAAACAGACATCAAAAAAGACATGAAATAAATATTTTCATGTACAATATGCTGCAAAAATGAGGTAGAAATGGTTACAGAAAATGTACAAGAACAAGATCCAAGAACAAAGTTACTGTACTAATAGTTTCAAAACAGCTAATTAATGACAATTTCGTTGGACAAACTGTTCAACTGCTCAGTATCTTTTGTGTTCTTGTTTGAAATCAGCCACATAAATGACTTATATCATCTGAATAAAACCGCTGTGTCTTTGGTTTTATGAATAAGAATTGGTGCTGATTTTTTCTATACAAGATGCATTTGATTTGTGTGCTTAGTGTGTCCCTGAGTCTGCCAGGTTCTGTAGTTTTCTGTCTCTTCGCCACTGATCAATATGTGCTCCTGGGGTCATTCTGATTGACCTGTATGGTATGAGTGAAGCCACCAGCTGTACTTGAAGAGCCGAACAGTGCTATAGGGTTACTGGACATCAATCAGAATATGGCTTCTCCAAAAGGCTGTGGTGATATAGAGGAACGGGGGGGTGGGAAATCAGCTCATCACAAGACTATATAGGACCAACAACCAAGGGGACAACCCATTGTGTTAAAATGGGTGGGCCAGTAAAGCAGTGATCGGAGGCTATGTCATGTCACAGCTGATCGAAATTCAACAATCCACAAAAGCCATTCTACAGACAATATAAATGAACTCGGTCTCAGTTTCTTTAGCAGTGTTGATTTGAAGACATTTGATAACTCTAGCTTTTGTGTACCTCATAGACGAAAAAGCTAAAACATATTTAAACATTGGTAGAGGCAGCTCCATCTGGATTGTCTATTTGATGAGCAGGTTTACAATTTTGTATACATTACACGTGTATACAAAAAACACAATTTATGATTAGACATGATTAGCTATCAATTATATAAAAACAATCTGATTCTGATCTTTGGGTTGTTGTTCTTTGTATTGTTTTCTTGCTCTTCAAGTACTTACATAGTATAAGTCAGAGTCCTTCAAAAAAATGGCCCTTGTCCCTTGAAACAGTTTGTCCAACAAAATCAAACCTCTTGTTTGCCATCTAACACGTCATGAAGACAATCATCACTCCATCAAAAGTCTACATCAAACATAAAGGGTTAGGATAAGGGAAAATGTTTTCATATAGAGTTAAAACATGGATTTATGGCATCAGATATTCTCTGAAATACCTGAATTACATTCATCATTTGTCTTGGTAGCATTTTCAAGTTTCACCTAAGAGGTAACAGCACAGATGCAGTGTGTATACATGTCTGTGTCAGGTCTGTTGCTCACCTCCAAACTCAATGCTTACTACTAAGACCCTAAGATTACATACATTCTTTATTTATCATTTCTGAGGTAAAGAAATTCTTCCTGAGTATTTTCAAACAAGACTACATATACTAATAAAATAAACTGAGTAAAGCAAAAGAGAGAAATAGTCATTCATGGACCCTTGCTTTTTGTGTGAGGGTCCAGAGCAAAGGCTCTCACAAGATTGTGAGGAATGTGATGGGTTGTTTACATGACATTGTATTTGGAAAAGTATTACCTTTAACAAAGTGTTCTGAAACAAGTGTGCCACTACCAACAGTAAAAGTCTGTCTCTTTCTATTATATGACTTTTTATGGATTAGCAATTTAATACTTTTTGGGTAGCAACGCATACCCTTTTGGTAAAATGACCGTTTTGACAAAGTGCACAAGATATGACCGCGGCCTAACAATCGATTTTGCAAAATACTGCTGCTTTCTTTCCCAAGAGGTTGCATAACAGTAAATACCTTTTGGTGAATGCTGTAACTTGGACAATATAATGTTGTTGAGCATTTTTGGTAAAAACAGAGTAGTTTTGATAAAGCCTAAGCCCTTTAACACCAAATGATCAAAGTAAATCAATACAAAAGATACAACACCACTGGAGTGGACTGGCAATAAATAGGATCCTGAGAGTTGCAATCAATGGGGGGTATTTTTTCAGGAAAAAGTCAAGTGATCTATAACCTCCAGGTTTATTCCAGGATCAAGGCTAATTGGAATTCCAGTGAAATTCCAAAATATAATTCAGATATTCTATCAGATAAGCCAAGCAACTAATAAATGCCCCTTCAAGAAAGGCCTAATATTTAATTTCTTTGGGAAAAAAATAAAGTATATGTATATTTATAGAAAAACAACACACAATGGCATGTTCCCTAGATTAAATGCATTAAATCCAAAATGCCTCCCATTCATAAACTGTAATTTCTCAACGAGTTCCACTCTTTTGGCTGCAACAAGTATTTAGAAACAGTTGTAGCAGTCTCCAACCAGTGGCTGACTAGGTTCTCAGTGGCTATAAACCTTGCTCCACTCCATACAAGTGTCCAGATCTTTGGAGGTGCTGTGAGGACGTACCTTGCAGAAAGCATTTTCAAAGTCTTGGAGGGTAGGGGAAGAAAGGGATGCAGGGAGGCCGTGCAAGGGCACGGGTGCTGAGGCAGAAGCGGATGCCAGAGCCTGCTGGCAGAGCTGCAGCAGCTCCCAGACTGAGAAGCCTTCAGAACGCTGCAGTACCGCTGACATCTCCCTTTCACCCAGACTGCAGCCTTGGGGCACCAGTGCCTGCAGAAGCACGTGCCTGCGTGTGCTCGCATCTGGCAGGCCTATATGATAACGCTTGGAGAAGCAGCGCAGAAGGGGATCTTTGATCAAATCAGGCCGTCTTGTAGTGCATACCACCAGAACCAGGCTGCTCTGACCGTGTTGGATCTTCTCAAGCTGGGCCTGCAGTTGCTGTCCGAGACCTTCCTCTTCAACAGACTCCACCTCACTGAGCATGACCACTGAAGGGTGTCGGGCCGTTGCCACTGAGAACAGGGTGATCAATAGTTGCTCTGCCTCTCCTTTCAATTTAGAGGCCAACGTTACACCACTCAGCCTATAGAAGGTAGCACCCAGTTGAGATGCCATGGATCGTGCCAGTGTGGTTTTTCCCCCTCCTTGAGGGCCAAACAGCAGGACGGTTCTGGGTGGGCGGATGGCAGGGTTGGGTCGCAGGACAGGCCATAGCAGGTCCTCCTCCAGTGCTGCTTTGATGTGACAGTTCCCAGCCAGTTCACTCCAAAGCAAAGCTGGACTGCAATCCTGCAGTTCTCGGCTTACTAGCTCCAGCATTTGGGGATCCATGCTTTTCATGGGATCTGAGCACTTCTGAGAACGATGTTGGGAGAAGCCCTGCTCTGCACCTCTGTTCTCCCCAGTCATGGCTGCCGGGGGGCTGTAGTCCCCTGCGGCTCCATACGTTGGTGAAACTAAGGGCTTTAGCCCACTGTACTTTTCAACTTCATCTCCTTCAAGGCTTGACTGAGACGAAGGTTTACTAGGCTTAAAGGTTTGAGGATCTGTGCTGGCCGTTCCAAAGCCATTTCCACGGCACTCAGCTTTATCAGTAACCCCATATGGAGAATCTACACCAGCTTTCATAGGGTCATAGCTATACTTCCTATAGCGTGAACTATCTCCATCTTCCTCATCCAGGGTCATCTCAAATGCTTTTCTCTTTAGAGAGCCCCCAGGCTCTGAGCCCCCTAGACTGCTGTTCTGATAGCCATAGCTGCCACCAACCACTGTGGGTCTTGAGGGTAGTGGAGAGGGGGCAGCTATACCCGAGGGGATGTAAGGGGCTGTTGGGTGGGTGTAGCTAGGAGCAAGGCTAGTCTGGTGAGGGTAGGTGCTAGGGGGGTAGTTATACACAGGCGCAGAAGGTGTGTAACTGGGGAGAAGTGTGGGGTTAGGCTGAAGGGCATGTAACGAGGTTGGTGGAAGTGCTGAACTGGGTTGGGGACAGTACGCTGATGAGAGGTAGGTGCCGTTGTAACTGGGGGGGTAGTCACTGGAATGGGGCCCACTGCAGGAGCTGCTCCCACTGTAGCTTGAGTCTGAAAGGTTGCTGTTAACAGCTGACACATTGCCAGAGCCTTGTGGGCCAGCTGATGTGGGAACCACCTTTGGCCCAGACAGACCATCATGAGATGAAGGAGGCACTAAGGAATATGCCCCATCAGTGCTGTGCGTAAGAGGCCAAGGCTCCAATTCGCTTTTCTGGCCTCCGTTGAGAGCCCCAAAGGCTCCAGGCTCAGGGTATGCACCCACAGCTGGGCGTTCATATGGCGAGTCTAGCATGCCTGAGTATTTCTCAGCGTAGCGCTTCAGCAGGTTGGAGGCAGTAAGGGCTGAGATGTCGTCATTTGCCCAGGCATAGCTGTAGGAGCCACGGCCGCGGCTGGGGTAGAGCTCAGACTTGTGGGCAGGGGATGAGGTGGTGGAAGACACGTCCAAATGCTGCTCAGGCCACTGGCTCAAGGGCTGGGCATGCTCCGGGTTCCAGTGCATCTTCAATAGGCCTGTAGGAGATGGCAATTTGTCAGATTATGCAAGAATTTGCTGTATAACAAAAGTGTACGTTCCAAGCATTTACAAATCAGTATTAGATGGATATAATGATTTTTTTAAAGAATTATAAGAAAGTCAAAATGACTAAAGGCAAATTATGTATGATTGTGGGGCCATTTTGCTTGGCGAGACAACTATTTTGATACTGTGTGAATGCACACAGAGGGAGTCTTTTTTCTGCAGTAAATACAAAAGACAAGGGCTGTGAATTTTCTCCTTTCAAGCCCTCAGCCATGTAGCAGCCTTGTGTTGCCATCTGCAGTTCTCCCAAAGGAGAAACTGTTATCACCCTGCGCATGTTTCTCTCAATTCATCCCCTCCCACCACCACAGTTCGTCCACAAAGCAATTTTCCAAAAGGCCTCTATGGCCAGCTTGACAGAAGGAGGGAAAGAGAGAGAAGGAAGAACAGAGGGGGAGAGGGAGGGACCAATATGGGGAAAAGGGGGGTTGGGACGGGT